CGAAGAAACCCAGGAAGAAAATAAGTCGAGAGATGGCAGGCGCGACCGTTTACTAGGCAGCTCAGCCAAGTTGTGTATGTTTTACTGACAGTTGAGTGGACATGTGAAAATAAACACAGGCGCTCGTGAGGTCACGTGAATAAAGCGGGTGGTGGTACATGGAGAGAGGTTAATGAACCGGCGGCCTCACGTGACTGATGGGTCAGCCGTGAAAAGGGGGGCGTGTGTTGGAGGCTGCGACGACTGGGTTATTGGACGTGAATCAATAGGATTCACTAAATGTTCATATGTTCAAAATCACAACCATTAGCTAGTTAGATGTTAATGGGAATTAAGGAGTCCTGACAACGGTGCTAGGCGGTCACTGATATTCTCTCGAAAATATCTCCCGTGGTTATTTCGTTCTACTGAACTGTCCGCGTAACAGTGCCTTAGCATTAAATTGTCATTCTACAACAACCAAAAGATGATTTTGTTGGCTTAGTGTGTTTAAACGACAAACGGTGCAGAAACATTTTGTTTAGCAACAAAAGGTGCAGCTTATTTCAAAGAAAATGCTGTGCCAGTGTAGTTTTGTGTCTAGTTTTGACGACGTAACTTTGGTGAACTGCGACGTCATGCGCCTCAATTTATTGGCAGCCAACTTGTGCTGACATTCGAACAGTCAGGCTCGGTGCTGCTACTGCGACTAACACGAATGAAATCCTTGTGTTTACTCAAATCTTCCTCTCTACATAGTTAGTACACGGTTTGCGATCATTGCGCTTGTGTGCATAATTGTTTCTTTATCGGCTTCCTCACGTTTGCATACGAGAATTTGTGTTGCAATACGAAAAGAAAAGTCAAAGTGTTTCGGCTTTTGAATTACTGGAATCAACATACTTTTGTTACCCCTAATCTAAGTAATCAAATTCAACTCATAAACAAATGTGCTATTTCACCTTGATTTTAATGTTGGATGCTTACTGATTCACTGCATTCCTACCACTAGCTAGATAACCGAGCGTATTCAAGTCAACTGAACTGTATGCTGCAAGCTGAGTGCGCATTGTGCGATAAATTATTCCATCTTAGTCGATCTCTAAAGTGACTCAGTAAAACTATCAGGAGGTAGCAATTATCGGATTTGTGCTTTAGGTAAAGCTGGTCTAATTCGTGCACGCAGTCCTACACTTATGCAACTGAAGTCACTGTGTATTGATATAATCAGAAGCCGTACCGATTCCGTGTTAACTAAGCCTATTTCTGTCTATTAAAATCCCCTCTAGGCGAGACTTCGCCTTGAAGGCCTCCATTCCCTTCTGTAGTCCATTGAACCACTAACCTGTTGTGCATCATGTTTATTCACACCCCTAATACGGTCGCCCCACCTCCGTCACAGGGTTCCCCTTTTCGCAGCATGTCGCCAGCCGCGCGGATCCTCAACTCCCCCCGCATTCACACGGATATTTGGATTATCCACACACCTACTGTAGATTTCGGGCCTATGGTGAGAACAAGGCTGAGAGGTAACGCGAAAAACTTTATTGGATAGAGAGAGCGCTACAGTCTTGCTATTTGTATGGGGGAAAACAGGGGCTTTATATATCCTTCTCCTGGTATTCCTGTTCTCCCGTTCGTCCGTTCCGCGGCGCTGCAATGGAGACGGAAAACTCGTGAGCGGATTAACTCTCAGTCCCCGGAACGTCATTCATTGTCAGCGTGATGCTACGCGGCCGGAAGTAGCACCCCCGGTCACATGACGTCGCCTCCACGCCGTGCTGACTACCTTCGACCAATGACTGATCGCCAAGATGGCGGCAATCTGCCATCCCGGTACATTAGGTCTCGATGTTAGCGCCTGTATGACTCACACATCCGAGGTGTAAATACACACGCGCAAACCCCACACGCGACACAACGACACCTACGTGGTTGAGATCTGAATTAACGGTTGGGTCCACGTCCTCTCCGGTCTTTTTCTTCATCACGAGCATCAGGGTTAATTCCGTGGCTCTGGCGTGGTTCAAGACCACATCCTGGGGCCTACGACAAGCCGAACGTGGCTGTGAACATTTGAACAAGTGATAACTGGAAGCTTTCAATGCCAGTAGTTTCAATATTTCTTTCACAGGCTTTTTCTAGTCGTGTGTTTTCACCATGCATATGTCGATTTAGTTAATTTCATGGAATTCCTTACCTATCTCAGTCCGACCCACGTCGACAGCCACATCCCAATCACGCGAAACCTACGGCCTACCTTTCAAAACTCCAGTGGACGAAAAGGTTCGCCAAATCCTCTCGCTAAGAGGGAGAGCTGTCGTGAATCCTGTTTATTCAATCCCCTAATCCGGTCGCTCCATCTCCTACGCAGGGTTCCCCTTGTCGCAGCATGTCGCCAGTCGCGCGAATCCTCAACTCCCCCTTCATTAGCTCAAATATTTATCTTGGAGTGTCCCCACATATAGGTCTCGATGTTAGCGCATGTATGACTCACACATCCGAGCTATAAATGCACACGCGCAAACACCACACACGACACAACGACACCAACGTGGTTGACCTCTGAAGTAAACGCCTGTTTTCGTCCTCTCCGGCCTTTTCCTTCATCGCGGGTATTAGGCAAGCGTAATCGGGCCAGGGTTAATTTCGTGGCCCCGGCGTGGTTCTGGACCACATGCTGGGGCCCACAATAGGATCATTCGCAAGCTCCTGTCTTCGGTCCGGCAGAACCGCCAGGGATAATTTGAATTAAGTTTTACTCCTCCATATCCTCCAGTAGATGATCTGCTCAGTGATCAAGTATCTGTAAGATCGATCGACTGATATATTATCATGACGGATTCATGGTGACTAGCACAAAAAGAATTTCATGCGAAAAAACGTTCATTGATTGATTGTGGACCAATCTGGACTTACCGAATTATGTAAAACTCAGGTAAATTAAATGCAAAAAGAGATTCAAGTATTCGACATATTTGCGATCCTAGTAGAAAAAGACTTGTTTGTAGAGGTATGCAGATGCTTTTTAAATGAGACAGCTAGGAATAATCATTTCCGAGTTCAGACTGGGTGAGGATGCTGTACGTGCAGCCAATGGTCTTGGGGAGTTTGAAATCCTGTAAATTTGATAATGTGTTAATAAAATACCCTACCAAATGTCAAAAATTATCAGAAATTTCGACAAATATAATGAAAATTTAGAATTAAGCCAAAATGACCAAAAAATGGAACACAAAAGACGGAACTAGGAACTTGAAGTAGCGACTTAAAAAACCCCAAGCTATTACACTTCTACTAAAATAAAAAAAAGGTTAATATCAGTAATAATACGAGATAAAAATAAACCCACACAGTACACAATGTTTCAGATCTACTAGCATTCGCGGCAGTGGTGTACACAACATTGAGATCACAGATAACGGCAGTTGAACCATCAGTTGAAACCGAAGAGAAGATGTTGAATGTGGGCGAAAAAAGGGATTTGCATGCCACAGGTAGGTGGAATTCGATCAGACCAGTTGACCGTTGGTCGTGAGCGTGCGTGCGTCCATGTCTGACGGGAAGAGTGTAGATGGCATGTGGATGTAGTTTGACACCGTGTTCGTTTCTCACCAATGCACCCTTCGCGGATCTCACTGAACACACTCCATCGCTGTACACTGACGTAGATTGTGAAATGTGTAGTGGAAATACTAAATTGTTCTAGAATTCGTATTTTGCTTTTTCAATTTAAGATCAACATCTCGATTGTTTTTTTATTTACATTTTAGTGTGTTAATCTGGACATTAATTTCATTAACTCAGATCGGGATTGAAAGAACGCTTAACCACTTTACACAGAAGTTTGATTTTAGACCACTTGTTTTGATTTAAAAATGTTCAGTTATGTCTATCAAAACTGTTGGCTCCCGTTCTGGCACAGAGTCCATTGATATTTAAAAATTTCATAAAAAGGTTGGTATTAAGTTTTGTGAAGTTTGCTGTTTGCGTGAATCAGTTCTTGTAGAGGTTTATAATTGATAAAAATTGTGTAAATTATGCGCATCTCAAAATATGGTTGGTGAAAATTTAGCACGTCAAGGATCATGAATCGGCTGCAGTTACAATTCTATTGTTATTTTTTTAAAGAAAATTTAAACAAGTCTAGGTGTCACCATTTTTAAAGCTTAGTCAAATAAAGACGAGGGATTGGAATAAAAGTCTAGCAAATATCTGGTGGCATCACTTCAATTGGACTGAGGCCAATTCTCATCCTTGATATTGGGGAAAATATCAAGGATACTTATGTAGACGGAACCATTTAAAATGATATAAGTTATCTTGAATTTACTTAAACGATTGCCCTATGTCGTCTATTTCGTCTACTTAGATTGTTCTGTTAGCTCTATGGACGACAGCGAAAACCTCTTTTGTTTCTATTTTTCGGGGTGTGCATATAAATTCCAAGTTCTGTTTACAGGAAAGCTAACTTGTTACATAAGTGCATTCACAACTTTTTTGATTTAATTACTATTAAATCTACGACAATGTTCCATTTTGCAATTAAGATTCCATTCATTTTTTCGTTAATCATTTTGGATTCCTCATAATTAGATACAAATTATGCATGCATTACAATAAACTCCCTAAAAATTAAATTTGAGTGCAAACACGTTAAAGATTTTGACCTGAAGGTCCTCCCGATTAAATTTTCTTGATTTAGCCGTCTTAGCCAGCCTCATCATTGTCGACCCGCGAGATCACTCGTCATGTTGAAAATTGTTTCGCCAGCATGTTATCACTCCATATTTCCAAAAATTCTAAGCACAGCAGGTGTTAAGTCCATATCAACAAGCAGCTACCTTAATGGTAAAGGCCGGACTTACGAAAGCAAGCCTGTTCCCGGCTCTCTTGATCATGTTGATCCTCTTGCCTGGGCAGAAAGGTTGTTTGACTTACATGAAATAAGGAAGTCATTCACCTACTCGAAGGACCCATCCCCTCTTCTCATGATCTGTAGAATTAAACCGATTAAAGGAATGAACTTTTTTGAACGTAGTTGCTTAGAAAGATATGGAATCGGTCCCGAGACTAAGGTAATGCCAAAATTATTCTTACGATGGTAGCTACATCAATGGAAATTAGTAAAAAATACTCCACAAAAGGCAAAGGACCTCAATTTCATAAAGCATCTGGTTAAAATTCAGCCCGTTTCATTTCCTGATGGATTACCATTGTCTGAAGAGGATTTGATTAATTTCCGTCTGTTGCCAAACGGTAATTTTGTTCGGCGAGGGTTTTCCCCCTTTCGTTCCGGTAAGCCATTGAATCTCGAAAACTGGGACATTATAACGAAACAGAATATCGATCTTACTGCTCCAAGCTGCGTAAGTGGGTGGAAACCGTTTTGCAGTTTCATCTCGTTTTATTTGTTTTGAAGCAATCCGGTTTTCATTGTATAAGTGTTTGGTTTCTCGTGAAGCTAAAATCTCATAATTTGTCTTTGCCTATTATTTTAGGTTGTTAATGCACCAGAAAATCCTCGATATTTATCCCGAGCATATCTCAGAAGTTGGCACAATCAGCGATGGCAACATCACAAGCTATTTTCTGAGTTTTTTACAGCCAAGTACCGCTATCGCCTTAATCAGGACGGCCAGGAGTACCGGTATAATGGACTTTGGCGATTAGATGATGCGATTCGTCAGTCTTTGAGTCAACGCAGCAATGCAGACGGAACTTACAAGGCTCGCAATAATTCCCGGTTCGATGCCGATTGGGGCACCTACCCATGGGCCTTTTACTGATGATTAACATTCATGTGTATATACGCTGTTTTGTCTGCAAGTAAATTTAACTGAAATACCTCTTTTATTTGCTTGTAATGTGGATGTGTGATTGCTCTTTAAAGTGTTAATTAACTGCCTGTCAGAAAAGCTTATGTGAAGTAATGTTCTACTTTCGTTAGGCCTTCAGCCACGGTAAAGCTGCTGTAAATTGGTCAACGGTTTTGTGCCACAAAATGGGGGTTTTAGGCGGAGTAATTCAAATGCGGCATTTTGTTTTCTAACAACCCGTTTGTTTAGATAGTATTTCCAAACCAATTTTAAAGGAACAGGGACGCAGTCGTCGATGCCTTCGAGTGTTTGACATCAGCTGCCCCGTAGTTTGCTCTCCTTCATTTAAAGGGTTTTTTGACTATCCTAACGAAAAGGACGTATTAAAGTGGCCAGGTTTTGGAAATATTTTGCTAGTTTGCGTCTGGTAAAAAGATGGTGGCATATTTTTGCATGAATCAGTCGCTCGTGGTACTGTCTAGTGCTGATACAGATTTACTTGACACCGTTTGCCAATTTTATTTGGTCTTAGCAGAAGTGTGTTCTCATTCTCTACCTATCGCGTAATTTTTCAGGATGCATTCACAGGACTAAGTGCAACAAGTGCAAATCGAAGTTGCTCTAATGTCTTAAAAATCGATAGCGCCATTCATTTGTCCACAAACAGAACTTTATTTTCAAAGGTTAATTTTGTGTAATTTATTAATAAACGTCGATGGAGCTTACAATTAACTGGTAAATACAACCGGCGACTTTTAACCTATGATTATTAGCCCTTAATATTTTAGGTGGCATTCGTCAAATTGACAGCGTCAGAATCCTTACTCATTTGAACACTTCAGGGTTTTTGAATGCAACATGCGGCTTTTGGATATGCCAGATGACAGTCTACGAAAAGTGTTTGGTTTTCTTACCTTTCACGAAATTGCGCTTCTAAGACCGGTATAGATCACTTCGCACTACATATTTGTCTAGGTATGTCGCAAGTTCAATGCTATAGCCACGCAACTCTTGAGATGTGAGTACTGCCGACTAGAGCAACAGGTCCGCAACTACCGCAAAGACCTGAAGCTTCTCCTACCTCGACGCGAATCTGAACGCAGGAAACACACACTGGCTGGGTTTGATTAGAATTTGTTTGTTAACTCTTCAGGCACGCGGATGTGCTCTCGGCTGTCGAGACCCGGCTTTCCCTTCTAGGAATGACAATAATGCGTTACGTTGACGAAGGACTTTGCTCTTTTTTCCCGGGCAAGGTACTTGATGAAGTCCGCCGTGTCTATGTAACAATAACGTCCTCAACAGACGCGATTTCTCGGTCCACTGAACTCCTTCGAGAACTTCGGGATATCTCGTCAATGGCAATGGAATATTTTGATGAGATCCTTCTACCACGAATCTACGAATGTAAAAGTAAATTTCTAGGAATGTTTGCTAGATTTTACAATCATCTTTGCCAATAGTCAGGAAGCAAATCCAACTCGAGGTTTTTTGAGTAGTATTTTTGCAAAAGATGCAAGTGGGTGAGTGAAAGGCGTATAAATTCATTTGCTTTTCAAAAGTAGCAAACTTAACTTCACTGTTGTGACCCCCACTCCCCTTTGCATTCGGCTGGCGTCAGACGATAAAATTATGTGTTGCAAGAGATTTGTCGTTATTGGTGTGCTAGTATGGCTTTCGAGATCTAAAATTTCACTAGTCATGGTGGGTTTTTAGTGGGCCATGTTAGGAAGTGACTCACTTTTTGGTTTCTTTTGCAAAAATGCTGTGGCAAAAACTATTAACAGCTCGTATTTTCTTCCGGTTTATCTTAGTAATCATTGGGTGTTTCGTGCCCCTTGAAATCGTTGTTGAATTTTTATTGACGGAGTCTCCGGTGTCAGAATTTTGACATCGGAGTGTTTTCAAAGCATATTTTGCAAATCATTTCTCATAGAGATCTGTTCATATATCCAACAATTGCAAAGTTAAAGCAAACCTAGTGCGTGTTGGCTGCATTGCAAAATGATCCTAGTGTTTGGTTGTAATTGGTGCCGGGTTGCAAGACTGCTCCTAATTTCCCTCTTTAGTTTCGAGTAAAGGATTTCTTCTAAATTTCCCTCTTTCGGTTGTAGTGCAGCAGCAGAAGCAATCCCCGACTGAGCTTTCTTATCGGAGACGAAGTCGCCAACTTCAGAGGGCATCAATGTTAAACAATTTAAACCAATCGTTTTCGAGTCTATCCGGCGTTGATCTCGTCAGTTCCTCCAGTACACCGCCTTCAGTAGACACGCATAAGTACCAACTTACCCAGGTTTGCACAATTTTGCGGGTTTTCTAAATTTGATGTGTGACCTCGCATGCTCGCCATATTATCGCTAGTACAGCTCAAAAAGTGGCTTTCTGTAACTAGTTATCAAATCCAAAAGCTTATTTTTCGCTGTCTTCACAAAATGAAATATGACATCAACGCATACAGTTCCAGGTGCAGTGCGAATGCCTCTTAAAAACAAAAATTACTAATGGTTCAGATGCAGAATAAACTGTGATCTGCATCCTTTCCGTCGAGAGGCTTCGTGGACGTGTACTTCCCCCCCCCCACCCCCCCACGGGTTGGTTTGTTTGTTGATTATGCGCCTGTTTCATTGACAAACGTCTGATTTGCCGGGTTTATCTATTTTCGAAGACGGACTATGATATTCCCGGACTTTAGTCCATCACTCGAGGGTGGCTACCTCATATCTTTTCCGCTATATGTCCGCCTCCAGCCCATTTGATTTGTCATTCCTACCAATTTAGTCTTTCGAATCATAGTAATATTAGCAATATCGGACACTAACTTTCCACTTGCTGAGTAAATGTGCTGTTCGCCTAGACGGTCCACGATGGCTCGTGCAGGCCTGCTTCACCTAAGGTTGACGAAGCATCGATGAGCACTCAGCTGGCCAGCCTTACCAAGCAAGTTAACGCGATGCGTCAGATGGTTACCGCCCTCACCGCGACCCAGCGTGAACTAGCCGAGCGAAACAGTCGCCTTAATAAAGTCGTCATTTCTCTTGGTTACCGGTAGGTGAATATGCGTTCGATTTTATCGACCCTTCATATCCCTTAAGTCACTCACGCTAACGTAGGTATAGTTATGTCATCTGAGGAGGACATCCACAAGGCTACCTGATATTGTGGACCTAAGTACAGCACTCGTTCACAATCCAGACAGTAGGAGTTCTTTGAAGGACAGCTAAACATGCAAGCCTTCGCCACACTCACCTAAAAGTAAAACTGAGTGTGGCCACCTTGAGACAGGCGTTTTAGAAGGTCATCATTCCAGTGAACCTGTTTCGACTGTCATGGCCAGAAGGTGAGTTACAGCAACGGCAGGAAATAATGATTTAACCCGTACATGTTGTGAGTACGAGAGTTAGCAACAGTAAAAGTAGGGTTAAACCTCAATTCATTGCTGATAGTGTCATTGGTTGCAAAAGTGGTAAACAGTCCAAGTTCATACTCGTTGCGGTAATCGGTTTGCTGTTTATTGAAACCGATCCTAACTGCAAGATGTTAGTGGAAATCAATGTGACCAACAGCAATAACTGTAATAATCGGGGAACAGCGAACAATAACTCAATCAGAATGTCTTCGTACCGATGGAGTAGATTTTTTGCTGGGTGTATCTATTAATGAGAGTCCGTGTAATAGAGTTTTTACCGGGTTAGACTGCTAATTTCCAGCTGACTTCGAGGTATTTACTTCCATGCACCAGCTTCACCATCAACTAGCTTTTATTACTACTTAATTCGGAATGGCACTTGTAGTGCCATGAAAATGGTCCAACAGATCTATTCGGAACGAAAATAGCACAAACACGAAAGCGGTTAACTGAGATAAGTCACTTTTTGCTTACAATTGCTTGGCAGTATTTCAGTCACCTCAGTGATTCCGTTCTTTAGTTGATTTAAGTCCTTTCTTCTTTTTGTCTCCGTTTAATCTGTGCCTTTGCCCTCAATTTCTTCGTGTATTTTCAATATTTTTTGCATTTAGTTTCATTTACACCAGTTGAATAAATTCCGTTTCAATCGAGGTAATTAAGACAGCCGTAAAGTCCAATTGAAGTGCGGAAGTTAATGAGCTTGATTGCTATCATCTGCTTTTTTATCATAGCATTTCTGATCCTAATAGCATTACTTCTCGGTACTTCGAACAGGTGTACTTCTATGACTTCGTTTTGGTCCATGCTGTAAGTTGTAATGCCGCCTCAGGCCTGTCATTAAAAATTTGCTGAATATGATTTTGCTGCTATCTCTTGTCTCTATCTCCTGTAAACAGAATTCTCAATCTTCGGGCGTTTGTATGCCCAAATGTGTTTCTTCTGATCACATTCCGACCGTATTCCTACTCAGTCTATTCGCATTTTTCTGCCACACATAAAACAGCATAAAACTAGCGTTATTTAGCACGCAGTGTCTGGAATTTTAGGATCCATAAGCTCGAAAGCAATGCCTGTACCCAGAACGATACCGACGTTGTCGAGCTAGGTGGCAAACGACACCAAACGGCGTCAGGAGAACCCGCCCACGGTAGTGGCATGTTTTCTGCGAGCAAGGTGAGGAGGTTATCGAACACTTGTGGATCGGAAAAAGATTTGCCCTCTCCGCCCTCCTCCCCCAATGCCTAATTTACTCTGCTTTGACAATCATGATCTCAGAACAAATAAATTCTTTTAGCTTCATAATTGTAGACCATCTAATTTCGAAAACGGACCAGATTTGCCTTAGTTATAAATGAAAATGTGAGGTCTTCTGAAATGTACACGGAAAAGGCCTCCAAATCTTAGCTTCACTATCGACATTATCGGGCTGGTTGAGACTAGGTAATTTGTTTAATTTACATATTTTAACCTAAATAGTTGACACTTACAGTACTTCCAATGTTACGTAAAGCAAATCATACCAATGTTAACGTGTGTTGCCTTTACAGATAAAAGACTTTTTAACCATGGGTTTATTTAGTTTTACTAAAAGGTAGATGGGTTGATAATACTTTGAATCAATCTGGTAAGTCAGAAAAAAGACCACGATGATGGGGCGTGACAGTTGATAATATCAGCCTGAATCTTCAAAACTGCATGCACACATTCACATACGAAAAGTAGTGATTGGAAATAGTGGAATACGTTGGTTCAGTTGTTTTTGCTACAAAATGACTGTTAAGATGGTAAGCGTCTGTTTAGTACTGCCTTTGATGGCAACTGCTTCTGCAAAATGCACTGTAGAATTTCGCTTGCACCGCCTCATAATCCTATGAGTCAACGACCCGGAGACAGTGGCAAGGGAGGCGACCACGGACACAAACGGTTATCTGTGTCACGGCAGTCAGGTTTGTCTGTGTGCCGGCGAGTGTGTACTGGTGTAATGGGGAGCGGATAACTTTTATTACTCCGACCTCAGCCAATCCTCTGTCTTAGTGCGTTGGGATGGCCTCCGTTAAAGACCAGAAAGGGGTGGATGAGAAGCACTGTGTCGGAAACTGTGTAGTCAGTATAGTGGACTCGGATGGACAGTGCCTGGCGGACGGTTAAGGCCTGTAATTTGTTAATAAAAAGCTTGCTTTGTCGTACCTGTACTCTCCGTACTATGGTTCACGCATTCTACAAACGCGATTAACAGCTTACTGATAACAGGGAACAAAAAAGTGCTTTGAGTCAACGACGCAAATCGGTCTGTAGATCCACTTTGCCCCTGTGCAATCACTGACATTCCAATCCAGAACTGCCTTGTATAAATTAACGGTGACAATCAGGTTTCCCAGATTTAAATTTAAACCGTAAGACTATATATTCAAAAAATTCCTGCTGCAGTGTTGCCGAATACTTGGGTCATGAAATAGTCTTAAGAAATTTTGCTGTTTTGCAAAATTTCCAGAGTAAATGGGTGCCTTTTGAAAGAGAATAAACAACTATGGTGCAAGTGAAAAATCTTAGCTGCATGTGGCGTATTCAAATACACAAATGATACTCGGGAATACTATTAGAACATCGAACGAAGAAGGTAATCGTTACTGTCAAAAAAGACATGCATTTCTCAATGTACCTAGTGTTCAAATACTAACAAAAGCAGTACTAAAACAGCCGATTTGGTATATTTAACACAAATTTACAATGTCAAAAGGCCAAGTCTTGATCAGGAGGTTGTAGAAAAGACGTATCTGTATATCTTCATCGCATGCCATTTTAACACAAAGAAACAGTGGATTGGCGGAGGCCAGCGTGGTCTAATATGTCTACGCAGTTATACGTTGCTACACTTGATATTTTAACTGACAAATAATGAATGCGCAGGTTAGCTAAACTGATTGGCCGATAAGCAATTGTAACGCGCTTAACGAGCGGGGACTTAAATAGGCGAATAACTGTTAACACGTCCCTCTTTGATAGCCAAACCATCATGGTTGGCTACCAGGCATACGATAGAAGAATGACTGGAAGAACCGGATGTATTCCATATTACCGCATACGAATTCAGAGGGCAAGAGCTTAGGGAGAGGAGGGTCGGCGTTGCCCTCAGACTCACGGGCGTGCCTTGAGGAAAGCGGAAGTGTGGGAGGAATGAGGGGGATAATGAACAGGCCAGACTGGCGTGCGTGAGTCAAATGGCGCGGGTTACACAATACTATTCCAAGCATGGGACGTATTTTTGTAGTTGAAGACCATAATAACAAAATTTTCGAATAATAGCTAAAGTAACACTAAACAGATACTGCTTGGTGAGGTAAGCTGTTACAAAACAAAATTAAGCCATGTTTTGTTCAATATGTTAATAATTGCATAAAATTTCATGACAAAGGGAGAAAAGGAGAACCGATCTTGTAGAATCTTCAATTCGATTAAAAATGTAAAACTGTACTTTTGGCTCCCTTTCAAAAAATGTCCTAGGAAGCTGTGTGTGTTGATGAGGCCTAATTTGCAGTAAGAATACAATCAAGATAGCAGTCAGCAATAGGTATCAGATTTTCGTATTAATGTAAGGTAAGTAAGCTACTACACTACGAAAAACCAGAACACCACACTTATTCCTGTGCCTTTGGTAAATCATTTACTACTGCCGCTTAAAATATTAATCCGATTGAAGTGGGGCTACTTAACAATTGTCCAGATTAATAAACTAAAACCATTATGATTTTATTGTTTCCTGACCTTGCATTGTAACTGGCAAAAAATATTTTCATCCAAAAGTCACTTAGCGTTAACAGTGGGCATTTTTAAACATTGCCGATAATTGGTGAAAGGTTATACGGTAACATAAATAACTTTACAAAATTTTTTTATTTGGAGGGGAATGTGAAGCAGTTGCATATATGCATTTTTTCCTTATACATCGTAATTCAAGTAAGGCATGGAAATTTTCAATTAATGATGAAAATAATATTGAGATGCAAAGATGCGAACAAGCAGTCAATATGATCTTGTAAACCCACCTGAATTTTCTTATACACAGTATAATTTAATGCAGAAAAGTCCAAATTGATGAATGCGCAGTCAAATATCCCTTCATACCACAAACTGTCCTATTTGAAATCCGTACACAGGGCAGCTAGTGACCGATCCTTCCTTCGCAATCCATGTCATTCATTTATTAAATGATTGCATAGTTGAGTGAATGCTAAAATCAGTAAAACGCGATAGAAGTTAAGAACGCCGTAGACATAATTCATTTCCAAATGTGTTTTACTTTGAGCGAAGGTTCGTTTTGATACTCGGTTTAAGCGCACGTATTCAGTCCAATTAAAAACGCGGGAATCCGATTGCTAGTTTTAAGGTCTGATGGGTTGTTTGCACTTTGCCTTCTTTTATGCACTTAATCATGAGGTCTGTATTTATGAGCAGTGTAGGAATTAAATACAGGTAGGAAATCGTTATTTAAACGTTAAGGAGCCTGTGCGCTTAATATATGCTTTTGCTAGTTGTAAAAGTTAATTTAACCCAGAAGTTTATTTTTAAACAAACAAGCGTTTTGTTATGTGGTACACCTGAAGTTCTAGTGTTTTTGTATTTGGTGAGAGCATGTTTTGATTAACCACGACATTAACGGGCTTTTACTGCATACTTGTTTACATTGTTATTTGTCTAGATAGACTTCAGTTCCTAATCCTGAAACCTTGTTTCACTACCAAATTGTCTCAGTAAAAGCACAAAAATGCAAAAACATTAAAGTATCCAACGAGGAATATGAAGACCAATGATGACGGTGGCTTAATTGCTGATTGGGCTGATTCTACTGCCGCTTGTGCGGCAATGTTTCTATATCAAATACACGAGGATTTTAACAGAAAAAATGACCTAACTCGAGAATATTTGTAGCCCATGTTTAGTATATCTTCGTAGGCGTACTGATAGCCACTTATATGTGTCATAGCGTCGTATGTCTCAGCATTTCACGTCGGTAACGAGAGTCCCTTTACTTTCTCATACTTTCATTCTATAATATGATTTGCTTATGAAATAGTGCGGCGATTTATGTTGCTGTTCATTTTTAGTACGATTTTTGGTCCTGCTAAATGGCTTCTGTGCTCAAATGCTCTGTAAGTGATAGAAGCAAAGGTCCTGTTGATGCATCTCTATCCTACCTTAAACGCCCAAACGTAGTCCCGACACCGGAACGCTTATCCTCCTCCTGTTATGGCAAAGTTCAGGGTTCGTTTGTGATTTGATTGGCACATGTTGGGTTCTGCTTTTTCTTATTGATTGTGGTTCTTTATTTAGGTAGGGGGGATTTAAATTCGCAGCTGGATCGCTGTCCATCGCGTCTAAGACCGCCCGCTGGGTCCCTAAAACGATCCATCTCCTCAAATATCTCTCAATCAAGTGAATTGACATTGAACCCTCAATCACCCTTAAAACGACCAGTTGTTCTTTCTGCAGGGTCTAGCTTGAGGAAGAACCAAATGTCCTTGAGGTTACCTATCAAAAGAAGCAATGCGTTAGAGTCAACTCAGAAGTCCATTCGTCAGGATAAGAAGGGTAAGTTAACAAAATCTTTTCTCTTTCATGTGTGATATCGTTTTTCGATTCCACATATTTAGTGTTTAGATCAATGTTTTTTAATATTTGATCAGATTAACAGTTTGTTGTAGTTACTTTGTGTTAGTGAAGAGACTTTCATCGGACCATGGCTGAAGTAGGCTGCATACTTGCAAACTTGTGTCTTTCAAAATGTTTGTTCTTGAATGTCGATATTTCTATGTGTGGCTTATTGAATTGACGCGGTCAAATCTGCCCGAATGACAACTTTGTTCCAATAATGTTGTAGTAAGCGCTACTGCCTTTTTGTATCTTTTAACAGTAATCTCAACCAACTTAATTTTCAGCCCCAAGGGCCACAGGCCCCTCTCTTCTTGCTCCAACAGAATCGTCAGCTCTGAAATCTCGGAGTCTAACAGCTAGTAAAGTTGTAAGTAAATAGAAGTGACTTCTAGTAGCACAAAATAATCCTATACCTCGTTGATTAACGTGTAGGTTCTGGAATTCATTTTAATCATAACACGTTTTGTTTTTTGTCTCAATACGACTTAAATGTCTGTTTGAACCGTTATTTCATCTTGAGTACTGGTCACCTATTTCACCTCGGTCAATTTACTCGTAAATGCTCATTCACTGTACATCAATTAGCCCCAAAATTTCCTCAAGATTTCGCGACTTCAAATTAACTTTTTGTGGCATTAGCCAATTTTATGTCAAATTCTGGATTATATATCGTGTTAGCTATCGGTACGCCTTGTTGGCATTTGATCAAGGGAGTTCGCAATATCCATGTGTTCGTCCATTCGATTTATTTTTAACTCCTTACGTGTCTTTCATTGACTGAGCCGTTTGCAGCAATCAAATATAGACCTACACTTCGCCACATAGCAACTACAAACGGTATTAGCTGCATAACTAGCAAGTAAATTAACGTTGGCCTCCTTCATATTTCCTACTGCTGTGCCTGCGTAGATCGCTGGTCCCAGTGTAGGTTCGATTTCCACATTCAATCAATTGGCTTTCCTTTTTACCTTTTCTGATTTAGGTAAATCCTGGACATAAAACGTTCAAAGCACCTGGAATACCTACAGCCAAGTCCAATGGAACAACGAATTCCATCAGGACGCGAAGTACTGCCTCGACTTCAAGCCTCCCGAGTACCAAGTCAATAAAAGGTGTTTTTTATTATAACCATTAAAGTAAAGTAACGTTCCTCTAAATAGAAACCATCCAATCTAAAACTGAAGTAACATATCAGACCTGTTGTTTAGCAAATCGAAATCTAAAGGCTATTTTTTTACCACGTCGTAGTTTGGTACAACTGTAATAACGGACCATCTCACTTTTACTATGTAAATGCTTTGTGCTTCCTGCATATTTCAACCACATTCTGTTCCTTCATGTGATATTAGACGGCTATGTGGTATCACCTAGGCGAAGATGGACCGCACTTTTTAGAAATTAATAATTGCTTCCTTGGCCTTCTACTAATAATGTATCTCACTAACTCAATTTTGCGTTTTGTTACCTCGTAGTAGTTAAACAACCGTAATGGTCGAATTCTTGCATTTAATGAACTTAACGATGTTTCACATTGATATAATCCTATGAACTCCCCAGGTCAAACTTCTAACAAGCTTAGTCTACGTTACTTTTGTGGCATTATGGTGTAAGTTATGTTTTTAATCATGGTAAAATGCAAGTGCAACAGTTCTGATTAGCCTCTTCGTCAAATCCTGTGGTAATTCTATTCAAGGTGCGAGAAAGCTCTTGAAAGTAGAACCCAGATGACCACTTAGGTAAATGTGGGGAGTGACTAAGCCATCGACTGGTTTTCCATTGTAATAGTACAAATGCAATCCTGGTGGACTCAAAGAAGATCGCCCAGATGTATGTGTACGCGTTTAATGGTCCGCTTTTTATAGCCCAGCTGCTATGAAGTATGTCGTGCAGGGCAGCAAATTTTCGTAGTAAAAACCCTTACAAAATTCAAATCTTTTAATCTCTTAACGTTAATTACGTAATTGGTCCACTATGATTCCCACGTACACCCATTACTCTTATCCATTTTTATGGTACTAAGCTTGCAAAAATATAACATAATTTAATAAAACGTTTAATTGATTTTTTGTACACCGATTCACCGAGTAGAGTATCTCCGAATGCTCCAATTTTACCTCAGAGGTCATTGAGACATTCATTTTACTAGGTCAACGTGACAATTACGTATTTCTCTTATCGCGACGGAAAGACGGTTTGCTGTCGCCAAGAAAACACCGATATGCGGCATTTCACAAACATCATCTTGTTTAACGGCCGTTGTGTGAACCCGAGTAGAGGGAAAACGTAGTCAACTTTATTATTTGGTTTCTTGCGGAGTAAAGTACGTAATGGTTCACGTAATCTGAGGTTCCCCAAAAAGGTATTCGCGCATCAAGCACCTTAAATAAGTTTCCTTTCCCCGTGACGGGGTTCGTTAAAAACTTTTTCAAGAGGCAACTAGGTTATTTGGCGAATACTCTATTTCCATGGCAAGTAATCCGAAGGGCCGTTAATTCCGAAAATATTAGTATTTTGTGGTGAACCGTAGCCCCAAATAAATGAGAGCCGTTGGTGACGCACTACAACATGCGAAGTAACTTTTCAGCGTCAGCAGTCCTCCCGAGTCTGTGCCAAGAGACGACTACCTTAATCAAGTCAGTCAGTCATCTCATTTGACCCACAACCTACGACTTATACTTATCACTGAAGCTATATTAATGTATTCAATGCTAGGTTACGGGGCAGTGAATTACACTTGCTATAATGATTTTAAATCATCGAGCACAATATTTAGTAGTCTGTCCACTGCCTATTCCCCAAATGTGGTATTTGATTGACATACTTGTAGAGACGAACTGACACGTCGCCAGGTAAAATCAAAGTCCGTTTTGGGATTTTCGAACCCACTTATAACCATATTACTTTTCCTTGTGATTTCTGTATGCTGCAATTTGTCACCCTGAAGTTCATCACGTTGGATCGAAGTGGATGGTGCGGAAAACATGGTCTATTCCTCATTACTTTGAACCATGCTTGGGGTTAGTGTGTGTGTGTTTGTGTGTGTGTGTGAGGAGGTGCTTTCGTTTTCCCAAAAGCAGTCATAGGTGGTTGTAATAACTAACAATAAAAATAATCTTATGTTAGTACAGGCCGCGCTCTTGCCTCTTGGTTTACCCGACGATGAATTCCTGTTGACCAGTACACAAAGTGTAAGTTGCCAAAGCACTTATTTTGAAATGTTCGTTATTCAGTTGTTTGCGGTACTTGGGGCCAGTGTGATGTGTTCTCGGAAGAAGTTTACCTGTTTTCAACTTACCCTCTCAACATCCTGCATCAGTTATACCGAGCCCTATTTTTCACATGTAGAACACGCAGTCGAAATCCGTGCAGGCGATAGTTCCCATCGTGCCTTAGAAAGTAGCCAGCAATCACGGAAGCTTTCCAAGCCTACTGGTGCGCTGTCGACCCGACGTTCTGGTGTGCTCACTTGTCTCAGTCCGAAAATGAAGTTGGCAGTAAAGTCGACAAGTCAGGAGATTTTGGAATTGAGACAGAAATACGACGCCAGCTTGGAAGGTTGGAATCGGGTTTTTGGGGCTCTTTGCGTCTTCGCCCGTTGGTCAATTGACGCCAGTGATAAACTTCGAATTAAAGCCCTGAACCGCGAGAATTTGCTCACTTCTCAGCTGGACTCGAAGTCAAAGGAATGTGGTGAGTCGATGTGGAACAAAGTTTGCAATTGGTAGGATTTACTGATTGAAAAATGTTTCGACATAATTTGCACTGAATGACTATTCTAGAGCGGATACCTGTCTAACTTTAATATTTACGACTAGTAAATGTTCAAAGGCTTGACTGTTATGAATATTTATACAAATCTGTTCTTTATTAATCTTCAACCAGCTGGACATCCGCATTGGGCATCATAGTCACTCTTCTTTGGCCATTCCTAGACACATTTTGCCAGAATTGACGTAAAATGCAGCATGGAACTAAAGTGTTGAGGAAATGGGTGCCTGTGATGGCGTGAAACAGTCGTATTAGTACGCCAGTTCCTAAATTTTGGTTTTGGTTCTATGCTAAGTGCACTTGTTTGCTTGATACTTGACATACAAGTAAACCTAATCTGCAGTATGCTTCCAAACTGGACTTATGTAAACGCCTTCCGTCTTAGAAGTAGTTGACAGTTCTTTTAATTGACCATTTTGGATGTGATTTTGATGTGGTGCACATTGTTGTACTTCTCTGTGGGAAGATGTTGGGTTTGCGAGGTGAGGAGGTTAGATATGGTCGAAGCAACAAAATATTCCTGGTAAATATCGGATTGGTTCTTGCATGGGAAACTTACACTCGACCATTCTAAGCCGCCTTCCACGTCATTCAAATTCGAGGCATTCGCATCCCCAGTCCGTGTTATTGCGATGTCTCATCCACTGAAAGTGGCTATCCTAAACAGTTGGTCACCTAGATATTATGAACAAATAACTATCGAAAATCCGTATCACTGGCTATCGGTATATGGTTGTAGTGCAGCTGTTTGGTGCGTTTAAAAAGCACTTAGCTGTCAGTAGTAAACCTATCACCACTTGCGTTTGTTCTGCTGGTACTGAACTTCGGTCTAAAATGCATTTTAGGGTCATACGTAAAGCTGCTTGCCCGACGAAGTTTGGTCAGAAGTGAATTGCGCATTAATGCAAACTGTCAATTTTTTTGTCTCTTATGATGATGCTTTGGTAGTCAATCGTTCATTAAGACTGCCTGGCTGTAGTGCTCCACATCAGTGCAAGAAGTGGAATGATTCCAGCGTCGCGTAATTGTTTTACACCCATGTGCAGGAATCGATGACAAAACATGATGAACAAACGCCCAGTTACTGTTAGGCGTTTTGTACTGCTGTCTTTTAGCTGAAGCCAAATCGCGAATTGAAGAAGTCCTTCGTTGTCAAGCCGAAGAACGTACTGCAATGCAAGCTGAATTAGAGAATCTGCGGTCGGTCCTTCAAGCAGAAAAGGCGAAAGACATTGAGAAAGGTAAGCTGTAAAATTAAATATCAACAAACGTAATTTGGTTATTATATTGCTGTCGTCTCTCCCCTAAGAGATACCTATTGTGCTGTTTGCCCTGGGCACCAACATTAACGCTTTCCATACGGGAATGAGTAGGATGTCAGAAAAAAATGTGGTTCGCTCACCTGCTAAAGAAACAAAAGTACGGGCATAAGCCACGCCACCCTGCTTTTTGTGTTGAGACGTCCCGGTGCTCCTGTCCTCATCCTTAATTTATTGCTTGGATGTCTTTGTCTTCTGCTGGCCAAATATCAGGCAGATCGGCACTCGCTTCCATTGATCTGAACTCGGTTAGTCTATTTTTCCAATTGGCTAACAAAGTTTATGCAGAATGGTTGTCAGTGGCTCGCGTTTGCCGTATCTCAACTTCACCGAGAAGGTGCTTTTCTAATGGTAGACCTCAAAAGTATAGGAAGGTTTTTCCTTTGACTTGATTTTGCACCGCTATTTACCTTGTCCAATTGCATAGTTACAAATGGATCCACGTACTATTGGAAGTTATTTAGTTTCAGGTGGCACTTGTGAATTTTATTTCAGAAAGGCAGTAAAATGGTGTTGCCCATAAAGACCCTCGTACTTTGTTACTATTGCCTGTCTTCGTCCACCTAGGTTGGGTGTGGGTTTTGTGGAATTCAAAACATTGTCTGATATTCATTGTGGACAAATTTATGAATTTCCCGTTATGTTGTTTCGCCACCTAGTAAAGACAAACGGCGCCGCTTTTTGCATAGGGTTCATCACTTTCAAAGGAATCGAATTTATTAAGGATTATCAATCTCAGTGATGCTTTGATTGACAAAATCGTTACTTTGGAATGCGTTTTATGTAGTTCTTTCTAAATTACTAAGCTTCACCCAAATTGAAGAAGTGGTTGAGCATTTGTGCAATTTTATCTCCTTGTTGTTACCAATACTCGTGGCTGCTGTCTGTGTAAATTGATTGCAATTGCTGCTTCTGCAAGCCAGACGCGCAACTGTGAATGTGCACACTTACGGGTTCAAGTGCTGTGTGTGTCCCGAAATGCGGGCAGGGGTTTGTGCGTACCACGTCGAAGCACAAGTGCTGATCATTTTGCCGAATGAATCGAGATGTTGTGGCGTCTCTGAACTTCAGCTTGCGGGACGACGAGATTCGATTATGTTGCTCAACGCCTGCATTCCACTTAGATCAAGGCCGACATGGTGGTGCACCTTGTATCATCAGGTACAAAACCCATATTGCATTAGGGGAATGACTTGTGTCTGATGAAATCTGTTCCTCAAACCACATTCTGACTCCTCCCAAAAAGGTACTCTCGTGAACGATTACGAGGGAATGATCAGGAGTATTGTTGAATCAATTTGCACTGTCTTCATTGCTACACATTGACCGTTTCCATAATCTGTATTGTTTTGTCGATGTGTTGATTAGTGGTGGTCGTGCTATGCCCACGTAAAAATTTAGTCATACGTTTACCGGTATCAAAACCATAACCAAAGTGAAAATACGCGAACCCTTTGTCTGTCACAAGCTCTGACTTCCGTGACTACAACGACAAATCCTCGTGTCGAGAGCTTCTACTCTCTCAGCCAAAGGCCGCATTATGCGTCAAAATATGCCACCTTTTATGCCCCTTGGGCGACCTTAATCTTGAATAAGGTGTATCAAGATGAACAAGCACTGATGGGGCTGCCAACTGAATGCCTTAGAATTTGTGTGACGAGATGAGGTTTCGTGATTAGGGGAATTTTGTAAGCATTGACCAGTTCTCAGTTATGCGATGGACGGCCATGGTGAATGCTGACCTCTCCATTAAAGTTTCATCCAATTGTCTTATTTAAGGCAGTGGAACTGCACATTGGAGTGGGCTCGAAGATCAAACCAAAGAGAAGAATGCGAGCAATTTTTTTGAAGATCATGCCTTCCTAATGCAGCAAACTCAAATCAGCTGTGTCTAGATTAGCTTATTTTCAGTATCATTAAGACTTTTTAATTGTTGGTTATCTTTAACGTATTTCACACTGATTACTCATTGCTGAATCTGAACGCTCGGCCAAACAGACAGGAACTATTTTTTTTTAATTTGTCGTATTTCCCATAGACATTCTGGTGTGCTGTGCCACTAAATTGCCTGTTTGGTTTTGCGTCAACCCGTTTCCGGATCTACACTTCGTCCATTAATCCCACACAATGGATCATAGACTTAGAACAAATAAAGTTTTATTGCACTTTAGGAAATCGCTTTTTATCTTTTGACTGTAAGCCTATTAATTGCGCGGTCATTTCGAAAAAAATTAACAATGGGAAATACATTTGTTGGCCACTTTTCGTCTCATCACCAACTCCATCATGTGTTGTGTACAATAAAAACAACCAAGCAGTTTTTTTCCTGCACTTATTATTTAGCTTGTGCAAGTAAAAAAAGCCCGGCGTCACCAACACTATTTCCTAAGTTTGTCCCTTAGTTCCACTCAGGATAGTTCATGTGTAGCTGCAGACTCCATATTCTGCCTTTCGAATTCCTTTTTGAGGTTGTCTGACTGTGAATTTTGGTCCTCTTATGTTACTATCGTTTTATAATTTGCCATAAAATCAAGAACGGCGGTTCCACATCCGCGGTGATAATTCGTCGACTAATGCGTGATGACACGTTTGTTCCCCCTTTTCACACGGACCTTAATCCTTCACACCCACTCTCACTGACTTCGCATGTCCTTCTTCGTGTCAGCCAAATATGTGAACTCTCTTATCGGCCCAATAAACGGCTTATTTACCACCGTAGTTGTTTTCGCATTCTCCTTGTACTTCGTGTCCGTTCAAAACGAAACATCCGCCGTAATCCAATTAGCGCCAAATTTGAACTTTGTATATTTATTCACTGTCCCTTTCTTCGTATGCCAGTAACGTTATATCCTGCAATTCACCTCTGAATTAATGTCTTTTAGCACTGGCAAAGTGGATGTAGCCTATTCGATCGGTTAATAGATTGCACACCGCTCATCCACACGTATAACTTATGGTATTACTTTGGGTGTATTATTCGTCCAACTAACTGTAGTGGATTCAATGATTTTCATGTTTTCTGAAATCCAAAGCACTCCGTAGATCCAGCCCACGTTTTCCATATTATCATTCTTGCCGTCACTTTCGGTAGTGCGAATTTTGCCCTGCCACGCCCTAGGTAGGGTCATTACATCCAATGGAACGCGTTTTATCACTCCCATCAATGGCAATAACGAGTGGTTGTTAGTCCAGCTTATTTTTTAATATTTGCGTTTCTGTACATTATTTAATCACCATTTTTTCTTAAAGTATGTGTGGGTTTTTTTGTACTTAAATGCGGTTTGGTAAAAGCAAAAGTATTGCACCCTCTTATTAATTCCTTGACGAATGTTATAATGCATCGGTTTGCTTTTAAAGGATACATTTATTGTTTACCCTTTTCGATGGGACTGGGGTTCTTAATGCACACCCCATTTCAAGGTTGGCTGCGTCCGTTGAAATCGAAACTAATCTCCTCATGGTGCCTAGACGAATTCAAATCTGGGATAAATATATCGTAGTCTTTTATCTATATCCAGACAAGCATTGAGTTTTATTCTATTATGACTTTATTTGACGACAGGGCACCGGTGGTTGGGGCAAAATTAACTCGAAACCGATTCTTTAAAATGCAATTTCAAGCGCCCCAAACACCATGGAATAAGTCTGTTAGTGTACTACCACATTCTGTTTAATCTATGTTTCAGTTCGTCTTCAGAAAGATGCTGACATTTCGGAACTGCAAAAGGCCTACGATGCACAGGTATGCGAGCGCTCATATTTAATTTCAAACCATCACGCCTGTTGTCTAATTACACTGGTCTCGCCAAAATGCGTTGTAGCCAATAATCTTTTGATGGCTTTTTCTGCTTTGACTAGGGCAGGTTTCTCTGACCAATCAGTTTAGAGGAGTTTGACTAGGACGATGGGTATTTACTAGGTACTGTGAAAACATCTTAGCATAGTTTTGTGCCACACTGGGATTTGGTCATCACGTCCCGTCGTGTTGACAATTTTTAGGGTTTCCCACACACGTTTCTGACGCCAAGTAAAGTCTACTTATTCATGCTGCATGCTGCCCCATATTGCCACAATCATAAAGTGGCGACCAATTGCTTGTTGCATAAATTCGTTTTTATAGGTTTTTACCGTGTGAGGTCTTGCGCTATCTTCCTGTCCATGGGCTCGCGCATAGTCATTGGGAATGTGGAACGGATGAAATAATCACGAATCGAGACCAGACAGGGACTAGTTTTTAGTACACAGAGGGCAGACCAACTCGTAGTAGTCCGGACATTTGTTGCATTCTAAATGGAAAAGACAAAGTGGATATTTGATGTGCTTTTAGCGGATTTGCTTTAGCTAGTGCATCGTTTTTGAGCCCTATTTTATGATAGCTGGTTTTATATATCACAGGATGCCTTTTTCCCGCCTAACCCTCTTGTTATCATTAAAGTAACGCACTCCAAGTGTGTGGCGGTTTTCATTGTGCTCAACGAGGCTCCATTTACGTGCTGACTCCCTTTGCAATTGGGTGCTGGTCGTTGTAAGCCCCCCAATGTGAGACATTTGATGGTGTGACGCGAAAGCGTTAGTTTAGGCGACCTGGTTGGAGTTTTCACCACAAGCCCTTGCCGAAACTGGAACACGAAGCTCCATGCAGACGTGTCACGAGAGTTCACTGTCGTGTGGGGTTAGGCACTACTACCGGACATTAGCAACATGAATAATTATTCTGCGGTTAACCGTTCTGGAGATGAAGAGGACAAACCGAAGCTTTTCGTGCTTTTTCATGCTTTTTCACAAAATTGGAAGAATTAATTGTGCCCATACAAATCTGTCATGGCTTTTGTTATGATCTGCAGTCGGCGCCTATTTTAACGGAAATCGTGCACTTCGCTTCCCTTTCTGTGTATCGAATATCCACGAAACGTTCCAGCGGCAACGATCGCACAGGACACGGGTTTTCTGTGTTTTTTTTTATAGTGTAAACGTTATAAGTGCCTTTGTTTCCAAAATTCGCACCTGATGCACCAAAATTATGTTGGTACCACATTTTTCCGCATTCATTATTCAGATATTCTGGATCAACAATGAGTTTTGCCATGAAAACATAGACCTTGGCATCCAGTCCCAAAACACAGACATGCATTTAAGAAGCTCATTCTTTTATCTGGTCGCCGCCGACATCCGCTCCCTCGCACGACTATTTTACTCCATCGAGATAAGCAAAACTGAACAGAAGCCGTGACCTAGCAAATGTGTCAAAACTCACGGCCCGATTTCCGACACACGCCGTCGTAAATAGGTGGTACAGGGTGTTTGTTTTGGTTATCCGTGTTTTCCCTGAAATATAATTTCATTGCGTTTTTATGCCCAAGCTTTCGGAGGAGCGCCGAACATGGGCGGCTCGTGTTGCGGAATCGCAGCAGAGGTTTGCGAAGGAATTGGACCAACAACAAATTGACTATGCTAACCAACTCGAGGGTACGTCAGGGTTTTTTCTTCAATTCTGTGGTACGAGAGAGGTATTCTCACGTCATCTACCTATTTTAAGTTTTTTGTTCACGATTTTGCGTTAAACAGGTAGTAATTCATCTGATTTTTACGTATTAACATGCTCACATTCGCACTTGGTCACTCGTGCGGTAGGTATTATGAGGTGACAATGCAGTGTCCTTGAGTGCCTGTTTCTAGAGTGCCAATCGGGATCACAAATGTTGTGGGTTTCACGAATCACGATTAGTGTGCACTGTCCGCCACAAAGGGACGCATCTTACGCTCATGCCATGACTACTTTTCCGTAGCGCTCCTTTCGCGCCACAAAGATCCCGCAAACCTGGACCTCTGGTTGCCAGTGACGTCTAATCGAAAAGAAATGCCCGCGTATTGATGTCTTTGATGCAGAGCACCCTGCGTTCACACTAGGGGAACATGTTGTCGTAAATTGTCTCTTAAGTGTCTGTGGTTAAGTAGCCTAGGCAACATCTGCATATGTTCGCCTTAACTTGATGGGAATGCCTCTTTTATTAAATTTGTTTGCCTAATCATTACTAGTAATAAGGGTTTATTTGCATGTCTAGAAGTGAAGTCTCAGAGTGCTGCTTTTGTTTCGGAACTTGAAGCTCGGCTCAAATCCCTGGAACTTGATCTCGCGGTAAGTCGACTGATTTATCTTTTTTTTGTTAAACCAAATATAAAATGTACGATGTTGTATTGCCTCTCGTCAAACAAGTCTGCATGGGTACTTCACGTCATCTCATGGTCACAAAAAATGAGTGGCGTCGTGATCTCATCGTTCCTTTTTTCTCTTCCTACACGTAGCGAGAGCATTTTTGTATATACATATCTTGAAGAAAAAATGTAGCGGATTAACAGCGATCGCGCCTGAGTGATCCCTGGTGACAATGACTCATCCCCTTTTCACTGGTTACTGTATCAGATCCCCGTCATCCGTTCACTCATCCACACACTAAGACACACGTGGCTGGCGTGACGCTAATAAACGGTCGTGTCCTCTCTCGCCTCTTTTGCCACTCTTCTCGGGTTATTACGGGCTGTTAACTAGAGGGTTGTAAGGTAGTGCTTAGACCGCAAGCCACTGCAAAAACGTTTTCATCAAATGCATGAATTGTCGTTCAGTGCCAAGATTACTTGTTGTTGTGCTAATGAAGGCAAATGACAGGCCTGACAGCGTGGTGTCCAAACGCTTGAGACGAATATTGTGTTAGCAGGGGCTTGATTCTAAATCTATTTGGTTCATGTTGACTGAGAGAAGTCATAAGTTTGCAGCTTTTCCCCTTTTAGTTGCCCCGCACTGCGCCACTTTAATGGCCTGTGTCTGAACGGTGTCATTCCATGCTGGCTCAACCAGTGCAGTATCATAAATTGGCTTCAATTATTCCCATGACTGAAATTTATAACATTGTATTCTGTACGGAATTTTTAGACAAGGATGGATGCTCTCCAATCAAGATGCGATGAACTGCGTAGGCTTTCGTTAGAAAAAAAAGAAAACCTTTCTTCAGAGACTTTGCCCAAAATACCACCGCAAACACCACTGGAAATGGCCGATGTTTCTGTGAGTTTGAACAACTTGTACTTTATTCAAAAACCGAGGCACCTTTTCTATGTCTACTATGTAGGGTTATGCATACGTTTCAAAATTTTTCCATTCTTGGATTTCAAACCATTTGTCTTCCATAGTTATGTAATTGTGGTACAACGTGTCAATCCATTTGCCAATGACAAAAGAAGCCGAGTTTCTTCGCAATAATGTCATTAATGCTTAATTCAATCTAAAGTGCTTTGCAGAGCTTGTCATGAAGTGATCATCATGAAATCCAAATAATTGTCATCGCCCCTTAGCCTTCTCCAAAACTCTCGCGATGTCAAGTGACAAAATGATGACGTGTTCTTTGTCTGGCTTGGTTCAGTTGAAATCTAAATTTCGAGATCTATTACTTGTATTTGTAAATAAGACTTGAAATTAAATATTTTGATATCAGCTGTTTCTTAAAAGTTAGTTAAGTTGCGTTTTTTTAATAATGACTCCAAATCATTTTCACATCTCATCTACACCGTCGTTGTATACAGCAGACGTTAGCGGTATCCTTATTTTGTAGTGAATTTTTGCTACGTTTATCATATTATTAGAAAGGTTTCTAATCCCTCATTAAAGTACTCTGCCTTCTTACCCTCGAATTAGTGAAAAAACTGCATAGGAGCCATACCTAAGCTCCCAATTAGCCGTCCCTCAGGCATGATAAATAGTATTCCCTTGGTACTAAGAATGACAACAGGAACAGCTAAATTCCAATTAAAGTTTCCTTATTCGCCAAGGCAAGCAGAATTAAGCCTGAAAAAAATTTATTGTATGTAATCTCTGCAAGTTCTTCCTCTGCGTAGTTATGCAGCTTAGACTTCTTGCCTTTTTCCCTGTCTGGTTGTCAAATTGCGTCTGCTTTTTTTGTAAATGCCAATTTGAATGAAATGTGAGTTCATGAAACTGAATGCTGTTGACCTGAACGTAGCCGTATTTTAAATCATGCGAGCGTATAGCAACAGGAACATCTACGTTAGAACGAATGCCATGTAAATGTGCAATGCACATTGGGGTTCGGTATTCTCACCAAACTATCTCAACTTATTTTAAAGTGAATGTTCAACCTCAATTTCTAGCTTACGTTCTCACGGCAACTTGTCGACGGCAATTTCGCGTTCTGTTTAGACTGTAATTTTGACAGACCCAAGACTGGTTTAATATCGTTTTTTTTTGAGGCCGTCGTCCTTGAATTTGCGCTACTACCGCTACCTATTCCAATTTAAATTCTATCCTAACTAACGCCATGATATTCAAAATTGCACTGACTCTATTACCTCCGTGACTTGGGTGTCCTTTAAATAACATAAAACCAGAATATGTATCTTTTAATGCTATATTTGTCTATCATGAATCCGAGACAGTTATTGATTGAATTCGTACCAGCCTACTACGGCAATAGTGTGTCTCAATTTGTTTATTTTGGTCACCTGTCTTACCACTTTGTGAAGCCATTTCAACGTCGTAGGACACGGTCTATTCAATCGTCCACGGCACATCGTCATATTTTCTCCCCATTACTTCGGCTATGAATGTATGAGTTGGTTTTCAATTGAGTGGTCTATGCACGTACCCGTGTGAACTCGCTAATCTTCTTGACCCTAGACTTGCATTGGTCATTTGCCACATTTTCTGGGTGCTTTGGCTTCGATAGTAGTGGATTCTCACGCATCAATCACCATATCTGTTCAGAATTTGTTCAATGACTCGCTCTACCGGCGCTTCCTTTTGGTTGTGCTTTAACGGCATTTCCTTTTGCTGAATTATTGGTTACTCCAAGCTCAAAGAAGACTGTTACTTCTGAGCATCCGATTAATAAGTCAGCCAGTTCATCGGTAGGTCACTACTTGATAAACCCTCCCTTTATCCCTGTTATAGGTTCAAATTCCTTCTCCTGAAGACTTTTTCGATGTATCGAAAAGTTTCACTTTTGACAACATCCCCATTTCCATGACCCGCTCCTGCTTCACCCCTCAGTTTTCGTCCACCTTCTCTAAGACGAACCGTCCCGTGCCTCCGTCTCCAGCCGCATGTCGAATTAGTTCTGCCGCAGTGAGCCAGTGGCATCAACCTTGGTCCATTAGCTCAACCCAACCACAACAAACAGACCAGTCGTTGGAGGCAAGTTTTTATTTTTACTGGTAATGTAGTGGAATTTGTTTCCATCTACTAGTTTCCTTCAAAATTGGTAAGATACTGAGATATACCAGTTGCTTTACGCTGCTGTTATTAAAATAATAGCCTACCCAGCAGTGTCCTCGTTATTTAAGTTAAAAGCCTGACGCCTTTTCACTACCGTGCATACTTCCGTAGGACAGTCTTTCGGATATCGAAAACCACACTCAAAGTTTGCTTAGTATCCAGCGTGATGATGTTCAATGGAGCAAATGAATAGTATCACGTTATAGATATCACAGCCATCAACAGACGTGCCATGCAGTCATTTCTGTAACACTTAATTTGTCCCTGTTGTATGATTCACACAGTCTTTACCATCGGCCTTCTGAGGGCGTTATCAGACGGTTCATTCGGTTTCCGTTTTGGGAATAGGGTCCTAACACTTTTATCAGTTGTGTGAACATTCGAATGCCTCCCCTTCTTAGTAGCCGTCTTTCCATAATTGTCACTTTTTATTTAGCTGACTTGCTTTAAACGTGCGAGTGGGTAAAGCCATTAGTGGGAAACGACCAGAATTGCCAAATCGCAAGAAAATCAGCCTCCATCAAGGCATTGCATGGCCTAACACGTGCCACATGACTGGTGGAAAAGTATTGGTTTTTAGTCGGGGGAGTGATTTTGTCGCACGTTCCCCCCTCCACGCAGCACTGACCTTGCCCCACCAAAACAGCACTTAATTCAACCTTTGTACGAATATTTGACCTGTGATGATCGGAGATTGCGCTTGGTTCGGTTTTTTACTGCTAAGGCCCACGTAGATCCCAGTGTTATTGCAACCACGATATCATTTACGTGCTTTCACTATGCTTAGTAAAAGTGAAAGCTTCACAGGGGGTCTTTGTTAAGTCTACCAGTAACCCAAAGTACGCCCAGAGATGGAATACACAAATCATCTGCCAAATACAAAACCAACCTTCCAAGTGCAACACAGAGACAAGACCTCGCACCGCCTCTGACGGAAGGCCGCATTGCATGTCTAACGCGCACACTTACACATGCTCCTATCAGACTGTCTTAAAATCGTTTTTTTTGTTCACAGTCTACAAAAGATTCTCTAATACAGGAAGAAATTGAGAGCTTCAAGACGGCTCTAGAACTGAAATCTGCTGAAGCAGCCGACCTGCGTCACAAAACAATGGAACTGGAAGAAGAGGTATGAATTTACATCTGGCGTAGGTTTACCTCTTTGTTCACCATTTAGTCATGACGGTGGTCATAATAAATATTAAAGTGCATTGGGGTCCCCCTGAAATTAAAATGTCTGTAAATCAGTAGACTCGAAATAGAAATAAGTTTGTGTTCTCACCATAAGTGCTTCGTTCTTATGACCCTTGTTCCTTTGATGTAGACTATTATTGGCAAATTAGCAGCGCTGTTGTCGTGACTAACAAAGGCCGAGATGCCACCTCTTGGATTCATTCTTATGGGTAGTTTGTCGCGAAATTCTCCGGCTATTCATGTGTGTCAGATTGCACATTCGTTCAAATGTTATGTATCCGGTCCTTGTTACAATGAACAAAATGTTATTATCAAGTGTGTGTGTGTATCTGCACGGAAGTCATTCTCCGCTGCTGTAGGGTCCACCTACCCTTTAGATCAGGCGCGTGCTTTGCAGGAATTGCCCAATTTTTACCGTTTGCACCAAATCTCGAAATTGAACAAGGATTGACGATCTCATTCTTAGGAATTTGTACGCTTAGTTCGATGCGCACTATTGATTGTTCCTTTAGTTGAAGACCATAAAGGATCTGAAAGTGGAAGTGGCACAGTTGCGGCACCGAAATGAGGACTTGGAGGCCCTCTTAGAGTTGCGTGGTGAAAGCGAAAAGTACGTCCAGGCAGTATTTCCTCTTCCACTTTCCCACTTACACCGAGGTACCATCGAGGCCATCGTTTTTGTAGCAAGACATTGGGTGGTCACGCCTTTTTTCCTATTCCCTTAATTTCAAAATCACAAACTTTTTAAAACTCCCAATCCGTCTAATTTTGTCATGAATGTTAACCCGGACCAATTCAATGTCCTATTCGCTTTCCCTGTTGGGTTGTGCTTCTGCTAAAATTATGTTCCGTTTTCCCTCAAAGTTATTTAGCAAAACATCCCAACACGAAGTAATTTTCTGTGGAATGTTTCAAAGGCTAAAAGCTGTGTTTATCCGTCCCTTCTGCACTGCTATCTTCCCACTGTTGTCTAGCCAATTATGCAGTCAACTAAACGTTTCTACTAAATTGATTTCAGCAGCCTTTTTTTATTTCAGACAACTAAACGACCGTTTTCAGACCTTATTCCACAACCTGGAAAAGGAAATAAAGGAAAAAAAGAAACTGAAGATTGACTGTGAGGCCCTCCGGTTCAAATTGCTTGACGCACACCACAAAATTGAACTCCTGAACGCAGCCAATGCTAGTGACGATGAGGGTCGGGATGATGGGTATAGCTTGAATGACACCACTTACATGTCCAGGTGAAAATTGCACCGTTATTGCCAACCTAACACGTAAACTTTCGCTTAATTTCCCGCTTAACTTTCCAGATCTGTTTACACTGAGCATCGAGTGAAGAGCCCTGTGCGTCAGCCAGCCAGCACACGTCGCAGTCCACGGCCGATCTCGGAGACGCTGGATGCATCTGCCGGCTCCTTCATCTCCTTTGGTCCGAGGCTGTCGAACACGCCGGCGAGACGGTGTCGGGGGCTGCAGCACGATCGGAGCAAACGGCGAACCTTGGCTGCCTCCAGTGAACTTGAGCAACACGATCTGCGTCCGTGATGATCAATCACTCCTTCGCTGTGTACATGCATATCAATGGATGCTGTAGTGTGCTTTTAAATATTCTGCGCTATTCTTTCATTACGAACTTGTGACAAGGTTGACACCACTTTTAAAAAAAACTGACAGATCTTATTTAGCGTGTTTTACTATCTATTTGGCATCTGATTTGAAGTTGGAAAATAGATATTACAAAGTTATGAAAATGACGCCGCGTGTAATGGTTGATTTTAGATGCGAGGAATTTGATAAAGGCTGCCATGCGCTCAGGTTTGAATGACTAATTGAAGATCCAGACAGAATTTTGAAACAGCTATGTGCGTGTGTGCCAGAATACTTTTTAGCCATTCTCCACCTTTCAGTGCTCTTGAAAGTGTCCGATTCAATGGGGAGAGTGCATGTAGCAACGTAATGTAGTAGGTACAAAGAATAGCCCAAAACAAAATTAGGTTATTTTAGCGCCTACAAAGGACCGCGTTCTGGTGGTTGATGATGTGTTTGGTTTGACCAGGTAGGAATTCGACGACCCAAAAGGGGAAGAGCGTGTTTTCGAAAGAAATGGGATACTGACGACTGCATCGATTCCAACGGTCAAATAGAGCTAAAACGATGAACCGTGCCATGCTCTGACATTATGGATCTATTCTCCAAACGTGTAATAATTTCGCATCCGACTTAGCTGACCACAAGTTCACATGACCCTAAGAATTAAACAGACTCAAAGTTGAACAGGGAAACCCGAAACGCAAACTACAAGATGCTGAAATGTGTTTGTTTCGGTAATAAGTCTTATTAATGCAATTAGTTACAGGTGTGTCATGGATGTGTGGCACACTTGTTAGCGCGCACAATTGAGTTAATCAGAGGACGCCATTGGCTTCGTGCGAGAGGTCTTTGTTCATATCGGCTCATGTGGCATGCCAGAAACATATGTAGCCCTATCACGTCACCACCAGGCATGTAATTGCCATGTGAAAATTAGTAATTTTATTGAGGTACACAACATGGTCTACGAAGGTAGGTGTCTGATTCATTGGCCTTGTGACAGCCCAAAACTTATTGAATACTCTCCGCACTCACACTAATTGAAATAATCGAAGTCGAGCAATGAGGTACGGTTTGAGGTTTAATTATCCACCTATTTATGCGGAAATTTCCCCTCCTCTAGCCTAGTTTAGTTGTTGAATTTGATGTGCTATGGAAGTGGCGCAAGCTTAATTTTTACTGCTGTCGTGGTAGGAACCCGTAGCATCCTTCGCCTACTTGTTTATCGTTTAAACATGCGTTTAGAGTCCCTTGTTATTTTGATTCATTCCACAGTGCATGAAATACATGCTGGGATAAAGCCAAGCAACTGATGAAACGTCAAAAGCAAGTGGTTCCCCAGTGGGCTGAATACTTTCTTCTCTCAAAAAGGTTAACCGCAAAGCGCTGACCTCTATCACAATCTCAAATTATTTCCTGTCCACAAAGTGCCATAAGGGCCGCACAAAATCAGATAACTTTTTGAGTTGTCATCACATTTGGTGCACCGTAGCAGCATGTGATAGAAACCTCGCCAAGAATGCTAATAACGCTGCGTACAGTCATGTTATTGCGGTAAAACGTCCATATTTAGATGAGAAGATTATTTCAACTGTTTCTTGAGATGCACATAAGCACTTGTGCAATAGCTACCTAAATTATACAGTGAATGTACCTAAATTGCTTGACTCGCGCTATCGTAACAGCTTATTAACGAAATTGAACCAATGGAACATAATTTGACTTCTACCCAGATTTTATTGTATTTTATTTGTATCAAATTTGCTTCTCACGTGGATTGCAAAATGGGTTGGATATATAGTAAATAATAACCCTGTAAATGGTCGTTCTAAGTCAAACGTATCCATAACCAGGTTTCTTGGCAATGAACAAATCACCCTACCAATAACTGATGTCTTCTGAGCTCTGCCTTTACAGGTTGCTTGTTCACCGCTGGCTTATCTCTGCTTTTGACGTTGCATGTTTCTCAAAATTGGACCAAACATAGTTAATAGAAGAAGAATCAAACGATTGCAGAGTATCTTTGACCTTTTCGCCCTCAATGACAATTTGCTGAAGTTAGGTGAAGTCACACCAGTGTGAGCAATTGTTCTGTTCAAGTTCACGTATGACTTGCTTTGGCGAATCTAGAGTGCATAGTCCAATTATGTTCTCGTGTGCCTTTTAGTCATATAATAGTTAAAAGCAAAGTTAAGTGAAGCATGTTTCAATGAATGATTTGTGCATAGCTCAACTAACTCTCCAAGACCACCAGGTCCATTTCCAAAAGTGCATACTTAAGTACAAATAGGCACAGAAGGTAAATGTGGAATTTGTGTCAGGGAAATTTGTTGAGATCGGGAAGTTTTGGTGTGGGCCAAGGAACCCAAGTAATGCATTTTGAGCGCAGAAGTTAAATCAAATTATGATTATTCGTGAGACTTTAAGTGACGCAGTTTTCGTGGTCATTGTTGCACTTCATTCAAGAAACTTGCTCAGTCAACAAGGATGAGCAGATAAAAAGAATTGATAGTCCCATAAGTACTTGTGTGTATTAAAACTAGACGTGCTACTGCGTGAAATCAATAGCTACCGAACATTCAGATAAAGGGTAAACGGTTATGCTGTTTCATTTACAATAATACAATGAAGTTGGTGATTATATTGATTTAATCTGTCTACTAAAGCGGTCAGTCAAAGACTACTCAGCAAATCAGATGATGGCGAAATCGTGTTGTGTCTAATGTGCTCCAAAACGCTTCTTTTACTTCTAGCATTTCCTCAGTTTTTGCTTATCGGAATAGATCGAGTATTGAACAGAAAAATTATATTATGCTGTTTACTTTGGTTGGCTTATGGTGAATGTTAGTTAATCAGTTGGCCAAAACACACATTTTTACTTCCACTTGAATGATTTCTTAGTTTTCTTGGGGGGTTTAAGTTCACAACAGCCCACATACTTGTGAGGACCGACAGCCACCTTTTGTGTTGTATGTACCTACGACTTGTCGAATAACATATTCGAAATGCTCGCTGTGGGGAACCTGGTTATAGGAAACAGGTAACTCTCGTTTTCCTGACACGAGTTGGAAAGATGCCTACTAAAATACTTATTCTTTTTTTACAAACACGTAAGCCTTAATCATTACTGCCTAGTATCTGTGCTTAGCATAAGTGAGCAACGTGAGTCGTGATAAGGTAGATGCCAGTCGGGCAATCACTAGCCAAGGAATAAGACTCCAGGGATCTAACCATTTATTCTACACAATTTACTAGGGATACTTTTGAGGTTTAAGTTCCTAGCACCACAAAAGGACTTTGGCCAATGACCAACTTAACCTATGGATACACATCTTGGCTTTTCCTTTGAACCCTAAATTAATGTCACTGAAAACACACCTGCAAATGGTAACATTCGAATGACTACTAAAACCTAGGGGACACACGCTTCCAGATTTGAAATATTGGTTTATTAAAGGTGGAATTTTTTCGGCAGTCCGCTTTCAACCTGACACGCCACCCGCGTTTTCTCCCCTTTAAACTTCCTCGACAAAAATGCTAATGCAAAGCATAAATTTCTGAACATGGATCACTGTAGTCTGACGAAATGTATGATGGCTCCACTTCGATCTGCGATAACTGTGAAGGAGTTCAAAATCAATTTTACTAGACGAGACAAGCCCTCGCATCCGTCATGCATGAACCTAGCCGTCAGTCGTTTTGGATCTATATGAGATTTGCGGCTGACTACGTGACTTCCATTTCAGGCAGTTGAAGGGACCCCATAGGGAACAAAACCCGTTGACCAAATCAGCTGACCCATTTAATAAAATCACACATAAGCACCCTTAAAGGATGATTTTCTTAGTCAAAATGGACAGCACAGAAGAGAATTCCTGGCGCTGATTGGTAAAAGTGCATTTAGTCCAACACAGCTCCAGTACGTTTTATCTCGGAGCTCCTGCTGCTGGGTTTAAGGTTCTTATTTATGTTTGATCTCTCACACAACCTACTAGTTCAGGTTATACTAGCTTTGTAAAGCAGTTTATGTTCCAAAAAATCCAGAACAACCTGTGCACCAAATCGTCGAAATGATGATTAATGCAGTGACACAATGTTATTCAACGGTCTATCGTGTCCATCGTGTTTAGGTTAATTAAGACAGTGCCGTTTTGCTACCTCTAGTAGTAAATAACAGACTGGACAAAACCAAGGGCATTCTAGGCATCCTGAATTTTCTCAAACGAATTACTGGCAATTTCTCGACAAGAACGCCGTCTCGATGCAATTATTTTAACACTAGGCCTACTACGAGAGAACGCAGACGGATGTGTTTTATGTACTTTTGTAGAATTCATGTCCTGATCATGACAATTTATGCCATCTCATCGCTGTACTTTCATTTCGTTGACCTGGAGCACGTGGCAGTTGTGGTTTAAGAAAGCAGCCATTAGAAATAAAGTTGTTTAAAAAAAATTAAAAATAGAATAAAAAACACTGCTAACAATCGATCTGGTATAAACTGGAAATAACTCTTCGTGGTATAACGTTCTCAGGCGCGTAATGCCACGCCACAGACTCGGAAAAATGAATGGCCTTTAGGTTTTAATTCATAAATAACACATATTGGATTCACTTTCACACGTCCCAGTGCAGAATTTGGAAGGCTCCTCTCTTTCGAAGCCCATGAACCCTCATTAGCCAATCCCGTGTTTTCATGAGTAACGCTAAAAACAAATTTTCGCTTCCTAACTCTTCTTCGGCTTCCCGAGGTTGCTATAAGACGACCGCAGATCCCAAAGAATTGTGTGAAGATCTCTGAGAAAACCAAACTTCAAAGAATTTTTTAAGGATAGTGGTAGTCAATAATTTAAAACCGCTAACAGGAAACTATAAAATATGGACTTGCCTAACTTATTAAACGTGGATCGACTTGCAAGTGCACGGAAAAGAAATGATCATTTATACAAGCAAACCAGATACGTTTTCGCCACTTCAAAAATTACGTCGATACACAATCATGGTAGATTAAGTTACCACACTTGCACCTGAGTCACGCAAATTGTGCGCTCCACACACTTTATCATAACAAAACTATGCGAAGGCGCCTAGCCAATACAGCGGATGCGTGTACTTGAGAGCTTACCTCACACAGTAACAAGTGTACTGTGATTGGCGCCTAGCCTGGTATATCCGGCTAGGCAAGCAGTTGTCTCAGTGAGTACGAAGGCAAACTGAACAGAAGTCTTTTCTGTAATCGATTATAAGCACTCAAAGCACGGTAGTCATGAGCTTTGACGAGGAGCAGCTCTCTGACCTATATTCAGCCTTTCCCGAATTGCAGACCAATGGAGCCATCTCAGCGGATGACATTAGACCCGCTCTGGAGAAACTTGGATGTGCCATAGCCGGGCACGAGTTGAGGGAGCTCCAAGGTGGGCGGCGACGGGGCAACGCGCTCTGTGATCTCGATGAATTGTACCACATCTACAGTCAGGCTAAGGCCATTAAGATCGACTCCAAAAAAATCATAAAAGATGCCATTCTTAAGGGGATCCGTGAAGCAAAGGTAGGCTGCGTGTCGTGTTGTTTTTAAGTCATAGTTTGAGATTTTAAAAAAATTAAGCGTTTGTCAAATACTTTTTAGACAAGTTTCCCATTTTGTTCCGTGATTCTCATTTACAGGGTTAACGCAGAACCATAAGTAACTTGTTAACTTAGCCGAGGCGTGAGTAATGCTGATCACCAAAGGCTTGGGTGTTAATGGTAACTCTTCCCAGGATTGTTCCTCAGATTTTGTTAACTGGTAAAATTCAATCCAGATCCTTGAAAAAAAAGACTGTTCGAAGAAATAATTGAAGACGCACTTACGCTTACTGAACTATGGTATTGTATAAGGTTGCAATTGAAAATCAGCCGCATATTTTTAACACATGGATAAGTAATTGTTGTATTTTAGGTTCAAATAACTTAATTGTTCATTTAAAGGAAACTGCTAATTTCTAGAAAGTTTAATTTCAAGCTGGAGTTATAACAAGCTGCTGTGACAAATGAAGCATGTCGTCAGCTAGTCTCTTTTAGAAAATGCGTAGCTTGATCTAAACTTGAGCCCTCGGCTTTTACGGCAACACCAAGGTGGACGCATAAGCTACTCTGATCAAGAAACTGCGTTAGGACATAAGCAAAACCAGACAAATATTTCATTGATGAAGAATAAAATTTTGAAGTGGATTAGAGCTAAATTTCAAGGTTGTTGAATGTAGCAGCACACCGGTTGACGAGTGAGTAGTTCACAGTGCTGGGCGTGGCCCGATGACTCATACGAGAAAGCCTTTCTTTAAGCGCTCGTAGGAAAGCCTCTCCCGCTCCACTGTTGTTTTTCAAATATGTTGTACATGTTTCTTCTAATTGTTTTCTTGGTAGGTAGGTAATTGCCATTAATTTCTTGGGAAATGACATATAAGAGAATTATTTGGGGTTATATTATTCTAATTCGTTGTCACACAGGCCATTAAAATATCGAATTGTTTACACATCCCTAACGCCAAATGACTCGACAGTGTACGAATACACCCAGAGCTAACTGCATCGCAAATTTGACGTAAAACGCATATTTGTGGAGTCGCATCCTTCACACCATGGCCTATCGTTGTAAGATCAGGGGTTGTACCAGGTTTGTCTTAAATAGATTCTTCAATTCTGTACAAGTTCATCATCTCTGTTGATGTTTACTTGCCTTATTGTTGAACTGAACTAATCCAAAAGAGCCCTTTTTTATCCGGAATAAGATGTGTTATCCAATAAAATCACTGATCCAAATTTTAGGCATATGATTCCGAAGTTGGCGGAAAACATACAGTCACTTATTCAGAAGAGAAGGCCTTCACAAATTGGATAAACAAGCATCTGAAGGGTGATCCGGACTGTGAAAGCTTGGGACTAATTCCGATTGATTCCGAGGTCGATGGACAGCTGTACGACCGCTGCAAGAACGGAATAATTCTTGCCAAAATGATCAACGTTGCTGTGCCCAACACAATCGATGACCGAACTCTCGAAAAGGCTGAGTCACTCAAGGCGATATTTAAGGTCAGTAAAAGGTCAAAAGTGCGAAAATAGTTAATGCAGATGCTGCGCATACCAGTGTATTTGTGTTTACCTACTAGAAGTTTGAAATATTTTAACGCTCTACTCTCGAAGTTACTAATAAAAGTGTCACCATGACAATTCAGAAAGTTTATAAATGTTTTCAGGGAAAGTGCAGCCATCCATAGATGTCTATTCTCAAGCTGGATGTCCAGAGCAAATGTAAAACTACCTGTCTCCTTATTGGTGGGCTGTCAACTATGTGAAATCAATGACTGATTTGAAAATGTAGCAGAAGGGAGATTAAGTAAATTTCCTACCATATGCTTGCCAGTGTGTTGCGATCAAGTGATAACATTGAAGATCATCTTCTTGAGAGACATTTTATTCTTCACCTATATTTATTTGCAAGAGAAGTTGCCTTGTGTCCTGGCCCTAAATGTACTTATATTTAGTGAATTGTGTACTTTTCAGTTCCAAATGAGGCTTTGCTAAATTCCTATGAAGTGTAGCGTTTATTTTGTCATAGAGAAAAGCTGAAAGGGTGCCGAAAATACTGCCATGTATCAGAGTAAATAAATGCCAATCTATTTCATTCTTTGTAGAGAAATGAAAACTTGACATTGGTTGTGAACTCCGCCGCGGCTATTGGATGTTGCATGGTCAACATCGGTCCGGAAGATATTTCCGGGGGTCGACGACACATCGTTTGTGGGCTCATCTGGCAGCTGATCCGCAAGGCTATCGTCGACACCATCACTTTAGCCCAGCACGGCGAACTGGCCTCGCTTCTTTCTCCCGGTGAGACCCTGGAGGAACTTGCTTCCTTGAAGCCCGAGGAACTGCTAATGCGGTGGGTGAATTTCCACCTCGCCAACGCTAACAGCACCCGGCGTCTCACCAACTTCACTACTGATCTTTGTGATTCTGAAATTTACGCGATTCTCATGGAACAGATAACGCCCCTCGACCTGCGTGCCCGTCTTATCAATTCTAAGGTGATCATGGAGGAACCGTCGTTAGAAAAGCGCGCTCATATGGTCATGGAGAATGCAAAGCTGCTGGATGCGGGCACCCTTCTCATTCCTGAGGATATCTATACAGCCAAGCCTGGGAGTCATAGTGACAAGCTGAACCTGGGTTTCATTGCAACCCTCTTTAACATGTACCCTGGTTTGGAAACTCCGGGAGATTTGAACATCCAACCGGAGACTCTAGAAGAAAAAACATACCGCAACTGGATGAATTCAATGGGCGTTACACCAATTGTGTCAAATCTCTATAGCAATCTTAGCGATGGTCTCGTTCTGCTTCAATTGATTGATATTATTCGACCCGGAACGGTGGACTGGAAGCGTGTGACCACAACCTTCGATTCGATGAGGTCGCTCTTCCAGAAGCAGACTAATTGTGTTCTGGTGATCGAGTATTCTGAGAAGATTGGTATCAAATTAGTTAACATTAGTGGTGAGGATATTCGTGAAGGAGCTACAAAACAGATCCTCGGGCTTTGTTTCCAGTTTATGAGGGCGTACACCCACAAACTGCTTAAACAGGTATGCTATTTTTTTGTCTCTTTGTCTGACCACGCGTTGTCGTTAAGCAAACCTCTCAGCAAATAGAATATATTTCATTGAGGTAGTCAATTTAAGTATATGTGACACTCGTTAAAATCATAAATGTGTTCACAGAGGGTAAGGATTAATAAAAGCCACCTACAGCCTTCTCTTGTTGAATGAAACAAGTTGCACCTGCCAAATGTCTTCATTTCATGGTCACCTTATGCCAGAGAAATAATTTTTTTCCCATCCTTGAAACTCGGAATTGTCTGGCACAGCGTCTTAATGTTTTATTTAAAAAAATAATCAGCTCCTTTGAGCTTTAAACCATTATTGCAGCAACATGATGCAAACGATGGTCAGTTATCACTAAGTACTTTATTTCGTTGCTAAAGTAATGTTACTGTGAAAAACTAATTCTTTTTGAAGCTTAACGTCACTGTTTTCATGGTACGACAAAATGTGATAATACACTAAAGGTATTAATGAACCACTAAACTGTGTATAGAATGTATCAATTGCCCAATATGTGAAGTTGATTTTGAAAAATCCAAAGAACTTTTGGAAAAAAACGGTGAAAACACGTGTTGCTTGTGATGCCACGTCAATGCACTAAATAGACCTGGATATGGTTTCTAAAATGACAAGTGACCCTTACTTGCATCACGGGTCACGTCATCAACGGCATTCTTTGATGATTTCTTGGACTGTGTGGTGGTTTATCTCTCAATAATGATCTTGTAATAGTTGATAAACTAACTTAATTATGGCATTCTTGGTGACCAGGTTGTGTACACGGGGATAGCAATCCCTAGCCACTGTTGGATTGTATTTTGCAAGAGGTTAAGCAGGTCTTAACTTATCAATTTGAAAGCACTTAACCATAGTGGAGCATGCGATCTTCTTGTGACACAAGCGACTTCTTAGAGTCTCTCCATTCATGGCTAAGCAAAGTCTGCTATGGCCTCATCATCGAGATCTTATTACTAGTTGCCTCTGGCATCTTGTTCTGGTTTGTCTAAGGCACAAGTGTTAATCCCTTGGCAAAAATGTGACTAAGATTTGCCTTGTGTTTAGATAGGTTTCAATTACAATGATCAAGAATTTGCTGATAAAAATTTGAAGACCAAGGTAATAAAAAAATATCATGATGTAAGCTTTAGTGGACTTGCAAGCTGGAATGTATTGTGTGAAATAAGCATTTGCGTTTGCAAATACACTGGCAAGGAGATTAATCAGTGTTTAATTTAAAAGTACGTGACCTCATATAAATATGCATCTTTATATTGGATACATGAAGATATTGTTAGCATTTTGGTCATCTTAATGGGATGGGGCTCTACGTCGAGTGGTTTGCTTCTTTTCGGCTGAGAAAGCTGACCTTAAACCTCTGCAGTTAAGTTGCTGAAATGCACGTTTTTCCGTTTAGGTTACCAAATTCTTTGTAAAATTCAAAAATGTAACGGTTTGTGTTGGCAAACAAATGTGCTGAGGTGCAGAACATGTGGGGACTAGTCAGATCTAAGACCTGTCGATTTGCATTCGGTGCGGGTGACTATGAATGCTCTTTGCCCCTTGCGATGGTGTGCAGCGGCGTGTGTGCATGTCGCAGAATAAAATAGCTCCGAAAAACACGTCGATTGTGAGTTCTCGAGGAGAAAAAAGAGGATGTAATCCTAGCTGCGCGCATCCAAGCGCATCGTAGGTAGTGTTTATGGCGAGAGCGGCAAACATCAACACACATGAACATGAAAACATTAGAAAATATAAAAGGATCAGTGTTCAAGGCGGATGGAATTACCTAAGATCATTTAGGCAATTACAAGAGAATGTGGGCTTATTTGCAAATCCCTGTTTCTCTCTGAAGCAAAGACTCATTGGCGCTCGTGAAATTAACAAATCAGGTGCTTGTAGTGACACAGGGAATGAATGATGTTTTGAGGAATATAAATTTAATTGTTACTTTGCCTATTTAATACTTGCAACCTTAATTAGTTTTTTTTGTGCATTCCATTAAAATCGATGTGAGGACATAAAATTTACTCGGTTTAAATCACAATTTTATGTCATTTTCCTGATTTAACGGCTTGGGAATGAAGTTGTGTTATTTTGTTATGTTGGTAAACAAAAACACGAGCATGAAACACTGAAAAAAAGAAGTGAATCGTTCAGCAATCAGGATGCTGAGATAAAGACGAAGAGAGCTCACTTAGAGGGTGACAGAAATCATTATCAATCTAAATCAACTTCCAACATCACATGGAAACCGTCTTTTGCTACATAGCATGAAGAAAAGGATAGGTATCGAACACGTTTTGACTCGCATTCAGTAGCAAGCAGGATTTTATTTGTCGGCACATTTTCAAGCAATTTTTTTGTTAGAATCCCTGCTGAAGTGAGCACACTAGATTGGTTTATCCGTAGCTTCAAGTGTCCATCAGTTCTGAAGATACTGCAAATATCAGAATTTTTTAAGGCACCGATAACACTCATAGTCCTAATCTACAAATTCCGCTCTCTCATTTCGATTTGATTGATTATTTGGATGCAAATTCATTTTTTACATAAAATGCATAAATTTGGCCTTTCGATCGTCACATGATGTGCTTACATGTTGATACTTCTAAATATCCTTTTTAGTAAGCTACATTTTATGATATCGCGTCACCCAGCAGCATGTGATATTGTGCATTCATGAGCGTCTAATTCTTATTTATGTACATGGGTTATCTGTGCAAATAGGCCAGCGGCGAAGGTAGTACAGCTCCCATCGAAGACTCTGAAATCCTCGCGTGGGTGAACGACCGACTCAAGCTGGTCGGAGAGACACCAATTAACGGTTTCCGAGATCCAGCCCTCGCCAGTGCCCGCCCAATTGTCGCGGTCCTCGAAAGTATTGTCCCCAAGGGGGCCTCCCGTGGCATGCTCACGAATGACGACTTCGCCAACGCTGTCTACGCCCTGTCGTCGTGCCGAAAGGCGGGAGCACGAGTCTACGCCCTTCCCGAGCACATCTGTACCTGCAACAACAAGATGATAGTCACCATCTTTGCTTGTCTCATTGTCCTCTCCTACAGTCTCAAGGCCGCTCCCACACAGTAGCACCCACACAAAATTACTCTTGCTTTCGTTTGATGGTTCAACTGTATTTCCACTTCGACTGTCCAGCACTCGTGATATTTATGCTCTGAAGATAAAATTAGATTGAGTTGTAAAAGTGAATAATGTCTTCCTTTTCCAAGTGAAACTTCTTCACTTAAAGGATATAGCTCGTGATTTAGGCTTTATTCGTAACAGGGGCATCAGTACAATGTACAGAGAAGTTGGATCATCTGTACATGACGCTTCTAATTCTATGCGAGTACTCTGCCTGCTAAAAAATACTGGATATAACATTTATGTTATTACTGATCGATGCCTACAAACTGAATGCTTAGGACTTAAAATCACACTCTGGACTTTGATAATGGCACGGTGTTTCTACGTAACCTGAATCTCGTGCCAAGTCCCATAAACTTTAAGAGCGTTTCGCTGCAAATTAGTAAGTACCATTTAATTGCTTAGACTTGTCGAGGCATAGTCCTACAGCTTCAAGATCCAGGTCTGCAGTACAAAATTGCTATTTTAAGTTGACTTGAATGGAATAAAAGTCACATTCACTAATCAACCAATCAATTAATCTTTTAGGTAAATCTTAATTTAAATGGGACCACGATTCTGGCTTGTTCATCAAAAAAGTGCGTTCTAGTTAGAAGTCACAACCATTTGAATGATTTCTTGCGGAAAACATTCAGGAAGGAGGACTAGAAATAAATGCTACAGTTAGAAAAAACAACTTGTGACTACTGAACAAGCGGCTTGCCTGGATTATCTTGTTAAAGAAACTAAGAAACCCCATATAGTCTGTCCGTTTTGATCCGTTGAAAGAATGTATTGTTACTTCATGAGACAGATAAAGTAGAAATTTTTGCTCTTTTTTTAAACGAAAGACAGAATTTTACATAATCTGTCTCTGAGTACTGCTGAATTTTTCAATAACAGTCATAATCAAACTTTCAAGTCATTGTGAAGGACCTACAAATTTGGGCAAATAAGTAATTTTTAAATGCACTAGCACTTAATTTAATTCCCAACTTATGGAGTTTTGCAGTCGGTTCAATTACAGTTAATTTCCTTTTTGTTGATTCAGAATCTGTCGAGTGTAAAAAATTGGTATTTACTTTTAAACGCATGTGAGAGCTACATGATGCTGGTACCAAAGACCATTTATGGTCTTGAGCAGCACTTCGCTCACGTCAGCAGTTTTCGTCCTAGGTGATTAATGTAGTGAATATGCAAAACATCGAAAAGCACACAATATGGTAACTACGGCCTTTCGAAGTAAACATTACAACACACCTGGCGGAAGTTTGAGCAAGACAAAACAGGATCCACGGGTGAGAGCAGTATGCTCGCAAAGTTGTCGGTTTCTGCGTCGTTGAGGCTGATGTGCCTGAAAAGCATAGACCTTTGATTCTGTGGGCTTCCTTAAACGCAGATGCCAGCACAAATTTCTGTTCGAGATCAAACCAGAGAAAGATTAACGGACTTCTGACAGAACAAAATTCTTGCCTATTTTTTATTGCCGTTTTACTACTAGATGCTATTTTAAGTTAAGGAAGGGCAGTGGTTGCTACAAATGTCAATTAGCTAAGAATCGATTCTCAAAATGCACATAAGGTGTTTGTTGAGTTAAGCCTAACAGCGATTTCGCACACATTTGAGCCAAATAAATCCTGTATACGAGAAAGCTTATGGCCCTAAAATGACCATCCAATTGCTTTTATAACTTTGCGAAATGTATGGTGTCTTGCGACTAAACCAAATGTTAACCATACGGCTGACGTTGTGGTAAACAATTGTTTCGCGTAGGTGTGTTAGAATATTCTTTTACCTAACGACTTTCATTTGACATTTTGAGGTATAACTTGACTAATGACTAACTTCATAAGGATCTTTCGGGATATCTCGTGGACCGAATATTTCAACCGCTTCTAATTAATTTTAAACTGTGTTTCTGCATTATATTTCTAGATAACACTAGAATTACGATTACCAAGTGGAAAGATTTCAAATTTTCGAACCCTATCTGCAAAAGAGAAGAGTTCAAGACTGCAAGTATATCACAGAAAGGCGCATATTCTACTCATTTGGAATGCACCACCAAGCTTGGGAATATTTTAGCAAACAATATTCAAGTGTTTATGAAAATAGCAAACCCTTATGATTTCAAATGTCTTGTTAGTATGAACGAGCCCGATAAATTAATCCAGAGAGCCTTTCCATAAGACCCATTCAAGGCAGCGCCTCCTTTCCAAATGGACTTTTAAAGGTAGCTGTTCTTCATCCGCCATCGTGTATGTTGCCTAAAAAGCATAAATCATGGTCGTTGGCTTTGTGAACTCAAGTTACATCTTTCGGCTTGTTTAGCGGATGTTCGCAGTTACAGCCACAGTGCACATTTCGACGTGTGATTTCTTTAAAACCGTCTACCGGTTTCGCGATTGATTTTCTTCATTTCAACCATGACTATTACAGATATTGTGAGGGGGCATTTACGACGTTGCCATGACCACGCTTCTGCTGACCTCCGAATTGCGCAGACGGTAATCATAACATCGCCACTGACTGCGCCAATTAAGGTCATCTCAGCATCAGCGACTACTCAAAGCTTGCAGGTGGACGCACATTCGATAGCGAGGGATGTGCTGTTCGGTGGAGCGTCATGAACTGTCGGAGCTGGTCGCGGATCTCTCAGAGTCTTTTCCTACACTATACCGAGGCTGGTTACCACGACACCAAGTACGGGAGGCTTTGGAACGAGCTGGGTTCCCTCTTTCTGGAGGAGATTTTAGATGTCTAGTGGAGGAAGAGTTTTTGCGACCAGGATATGATCATATCTGTGTGGATACACTCACGGAAATCCTCAAGATGCTGCTCAGTAATCAGGAAAAACAAAAGCTGGTTGAGAAGAAAAGGGAACTTAGAGAGAGAGCTGACCTAAGGGTAAGACTACAGATAGGGCAAAGTTTCTTAATGCCTCACATTATTTTTTAATATGTCGGGTTCTTTCCAGCAGGTCAATGATACAGCAGGGGAGTAATAGTGCGCTTTAATGAAGCTTAACCTTAAGGACCAATTGGGTATTAATTCATGCAAATGTTCTATAGTCGAAAATGTATCAATAGTGCTTATTTTTGTGTGGTCTCCACCATTTTAATACATGTTCTTACAAGGTTTAAAAAATGAGGCAAACTAAGTGATAAATTGTTAAAATTGATGAATTGTCTTGTCCTGTAAATCAAACTATGAAACTCAAACACATAAATTTCTAGTAATTCTCTCGTACCTACTATACCTAAATCCTTACGTCCAATTTATTGCTTATGATGTGGACGTTTAGCTAAAATACCTAGGTGTTACCTATTTCCGTAGAGCTGACACAAAACTGGCTTTCACTAGTGCAAAGGTCTCAGTTGCAGAAAATTAAAACATGCGTGAATGCGTACTCTAGGCTGAAGCTGATAGCCAGCACACAAGGAATTGCGTGTGTACATGTGGAATCACCTGTCCTGCTTTGTGTGCCATGATGGTTGTGCCAAGCCGTTGGTGCGCACACCCGCAGGCACATATCGTGTCTACAAGCCACATTGCCCATTGTTATCTTCTCTACTGCATTTGGAGATCATCCAAGATAATTTACTGTCTGCTAACGTTTCAACAGGTTTTCGGGCATGTGATTAATATAACATGCTACATGAGTAGTCACATTATTTAAAGTTGCTTGAATGGAATCAGGCTAGCAATTAACAGACCAAACTAAAATTCAAATAGAATCGCCTAAGGTTGGGTGAGCAATTTAAGTTTGTGGAACACAAGTTGGCAGTCTTGACAAACAACTAACCCACTGACGGCGTTTACTTATTTTTCGATTAAAGCGTAATTCCTCCTTGGTGTCATATTTGCCCATCCAGTGCTAAAAACTGCTGTGACCTGTTCACTTCAACCTAGGTCTACGAGAGCGAGGACCAGGAGAACTCAACGGCCACAGCAAAACACTCCGTTAGCCCGGCGGAGGAGCGCGCGTTTATTGATTGGATAAACCGCCTGCTGGCCTCTGATCCTGACCTGAGGCATCATCTTCCCATTGACCATTCTGTGGACGGACAATTGTACGAACGATGCCGTGATGGTCTTCTTTTATGCAAACTAATCAATGCTGCCGTGCCTGAGACAATTGATGAACGATGCATCAATAAAACTCCCAATAAGGCGAATATTTTTAAGGTGAGAAAGTAGACTTTGGTGTCTCGTCCGTGGATATTCCTCCTCCGACTCTCCACTCTAACATCATTTACACCCCCTTCGTCGTCTTCCAATATTTTTGCCGTTTAAAGGTTTACCTGCTTCCCGCACTCCTGTTCCACTGCTTCCCCAAGTTTCATCATGAGCAACTCACTACTTATAATGACTGCCATCAAATGCATCCTATTTATCCCCTTTCTGCTCTCCATTTGTTTATTAAGTTCTATTTGATTTGGCTTTTTTTGCCATCTTGCTGTCTTTCCCTATTGTCTGACTTCGTCATTTTTCCTGGTTTCCCAACACAGCATATCCCTACGATCTGTGATATACTTTTGATTATTTGAGACTCTTGATTCTAACCAATTACTCTAACTGATACTTAAAACATACTTGTGGATTAAATTATTGCATTTAATGACAGTTAAATGGTGAAAGATTGGAACCCTGTAAAGTAGGTATTCATGTAAATTGATCGGTTGCCTTCGGCGATTCAGAAAATCTCACGCAAAAAATCTATTTTTGTAAGAATCTCTGAACGACAGTGCACCTCTCATAACTTTTCTGCTACCTCAATTTAGACTCCTTAAGATTTCAACTAATTTTCAGGCTCTAATTCTTACCACTAGGTCATCTGTTTTATTTAAATCAACTCCTTTCTCGAATTGCAATTGGAAGGTCTAAAAATGCACTTGGAAAAAGACCCAAATATTTCAAAATCCACATAGAGATACGTTTACGACTCCCAGTTTTTTCCTTGTAACACAAACGTTAGCATATGAGTTCATGATATACAGTTCGTCTGCTCGTTTCATGAAAATTAAAGGAGACTACCTCGCCAAAGGATTAGGTTAATACTGAGTGTAGATATTAGCCTATTGCTTTGTTGCCTTATCAGAGGCCTTTTAGTCGTTGTACTTATTTGTTGTATCACGAGGCGTAAAGTCTCGCTGCATGACTACCATATTTTGTCACTGGCTAAAGTCTATCGTAATTTTGTAGATTAACGAGAACCTGACATTGGCAGTGAATTCCGCTGAATCAATTGGATGTTGTGTGGTCAATGTTGGTCCAGAGGACATTGAACAATGCGCGCGTCACCTAGTACTCGGTCTCATCTGGCAAATTATTCGCATTGGCTTGCTCGGAATGATTTCTGTTCAACATCATAGTGAGTTCATTGATCTTTTGGAACCGGGAGAGACAGTAGATAACTTGCGGCTCCTGTCACCTGAGGACTTGCTCCTTCGCTGGGTAAACTTTCATCTGGAAATGGCGGGCAACACTCACAGGATGACCAACTTCTCCTCCGATATAATGGATTCAGAAATATACGCCACTCTGCTCCAACAAATCGCTCCCGAAGACAAACAGGCATTTCTAATACCTGTGACAGGAATCATGGCTGAGAGCAACATGTACTGTCGTGCAGAAATGGTTCTCGAGAATGCAGAATTTCTTAGTGCGGCGGCTTTTATTACACCCGAAGACATCGTAAAAGCTGCGGAGCGTGGAATGAATCGCGACAAACTGCACCTCGTCTTTGTTGCCAATCTCTTTAATCTCTACCCGGGTCTTAAGTCGAAGGCTCCCATGGATATTCCTGAGACGCTTGAGGAGAAAACTTATCGCAACTGGATGAATTCAATGGGTGTAGCGCCCTTTGTCCGTGACCTCTCCAGTGACCTCAGAAGTGGCCTTATATTTCTTCAACTCCTGGACGTTCTTGAACCCGGAACTGTGGCTTGGAATAAGATTGTCCGTGTCTTCGACCCAAAGCGACAAATCTTCCAGATGCAAGACAACTGTGCCTATGTGGTTGAGTATGCCAATTTGCTAAATGTTAACGTTGTCAATTTAAGTGGAGAAGACCTCCGTACTGGCGAGAGGAAATTGACCCTGGGGCTCACATTTCAGCTGATGCGTGCGTACACCATGAAGATGCTCTCTGAATTGCACCAGTGTTGTGGTCACCTCGTTGAAAAGGACATACTTGCGTGGGCCAATGAGAGACTGGTTTCTGTGGGAGCCCCGATGCTTGCCAGCTTCCGTGACTGCAGCATCTCAAGCGGAGTCCCGGTTATGAACCTCATTAATGCAATTAAGCCCCACTCGATAGACAAGTCTATGGTGTTGAAAGACAAGCTAGCAAACTGTCGCATTGCAATTAGCACGGCGCGTAAAATCGGGGCTCGCGTTTACGCTCTCCCAGAGCATCTGAGAGATGTGAATCCAAAAATGATTATGACGGTTTTCGCCTGTCTTATGGCCCTTGACTTGCAACTTAACGGGGTGCAGTAAGGAACAAGGATCTTAGGTTTAAACAATAGTACTGTCAAATCGGCGACAGTTTTAACTTCATCAATAAAGCTGTTTTAAATTTAGCCTTTTTATTGTCCCCCAGAATGCTTCGATTAAAGGCCTTGAAGTAACAAGGTATGCTGGTGTTGAAAGCCTTGGTCAAGGTGACACGGAAGTGCGAAAATGCATGCTATGGTTAAAAGAAGACTTCTTTTAATTTCGAAGACTTTGGCCGGTTGACGATCCTTGTGAATGGCAGTCGATGCAAACTATCACGTCCTCGTAGCACTTCGACTGAATACTTAGTTCATGCACTCATTTCGTGATCTTTTAAGGTTGTTTTAGGTAGGTATTTTTGAGAATAAGAGATGCTAAAACATTAGACTTCCGATAATCAGCGAATACTCGAACCCAACCGTAGAGACATCAAATGAATGGGGCTTAGTCAATAGGCACTTCCAGTCACTCCCCTACAATGATAGAACTTCAACGATGATTCAGAGACTTGGAAGGTTATTATACTAATGCTTTACTTTGCATTTTCTTGGACTAGCAATAAGTTAAATTTAAAATCTGTGGCCCGGAAATCGATTAACGCATCTCAATGAAGGATTGAGGAAGGAGGCAAACTGTCCACTGTCCAATAATTGGTCATTGATTTCTTTTACTTGCAACTGCTCACGGGGGTAACCGAGAACGACTGAATTCACCTGGTACTGTTGTCAGGCGCCTTTTACTGTTGGCTTACATGAGAACCGCGTTCCACCCCGGTAGGAATAGTCAACTGTTAAGGTTGCAAAATTTGTTATGTGCATTAGAAAGGTAAATAAGTATGATCGATTGCATAACTGTAAAACAGGAACTAAGTAGGGTATTATACTTTAAAATAGTACGTAAGCTGTTACTTTTAATCAAGTAATTCGGCTAAATTTGTCTCAAATTCAATGAATGAAATCTTTTCACAATCGGTTGTTATGGCCTAAATTGCCCTCCTTTTGCAAATATCCCGCTTGAATGTGGGTGAATTGTAAATGTTGAAAACAATTACGTGGAGTAATGTGACAAACAAAACATTCGACCGTTGGGGTGGTTCAGCCTTATCGGGATTGCTCCTTTTAAAGAGAGCACAAGTGATGACGAATACCTTAAAGTAATTGCTTTCACCTAAAAATTTAAGCTATTATTGGCCTGGAGATGCAGGTTTTATAAGTTGCTTGTCACTGGAGTGGTCTAACAGTATTTGTTTCTTGACCTGAGATTCGCAACGGCGCTGGCACACATTCACGATCCATCGTAAACAAATGTTACATTGGCAAATCGATGGCGCATAACTTTGGTTGTCTGGCAGTCAAAGTGTAGGCAAAGACTCAAGGCTGAAATGTTCACTCGGCAAAGATCCAGCCAAGGGAACGCATAGCCGACTCGGTGCTACACCGTATTGCAAACTCAACTGAATTCGGCAAATTACGTGCACAAGCGTTCACATAATGCGTGGCCCAGTCGTACCTGGGTTAAATGAATTTTCAAGTAAACACAAGCGTTAGAATAAACAGTGAGAAGGCATGAATCGGTTAACCACTAAATGTCAACAACCATTAATTTCATTTAGTGTGTGTTGGCTGGGCTCGAAGTGTGCTAACACACTCCACCGATTGGAATCTTGAATTGCCAAGTATAACAAAATATCACGCACCATTTGGTGTTGCATACTTATCTTTGGATTCGCCGACATTTTCACGAATTATAAATTAAATCGAGCAGAAATCTGCCTTCCACTTCAATCAAAAGCTACTATAAACTAATTTGCAGACAGCGCATTTCACAAATGCACGAACAAAGGGTAATTGAAGAAAGTCGTGGCTTGACAAAACTATCACCAACGAGCGAAATTCTGCACGACGAAGGGCTTGGGATCGTTGGATCAATGTAGCATCCAAACAGGATTCGCCCATGTCTGCTAGGTGATTCCAGCAGACATACAACAGTTGTCATAAGTTACGCTGTCGCTAGAGCATCGTAAGACGACCACTTGCACTCCAATGCTTGCTATGTGGCGACCCATTAACAGACGTCTTTGGGTGTACCATCTAAGCCAAACACATCAAACGTGACATTGCAGTTTCTACTTAAATTTTATTCATAGTTTTAATACAGCAAAAACATGGTCTTCCATGTCCATGCTCAAACGAGATAAGCAGTAACTTCTACTGTACCACTTCGACTACTGGTTTAACCATGGCCATAAATTAATGTGTCTGGCAAAAAAGATGGGCTACAGACACATATTTTACCCTGCACAGTAAATTATACGCAACATTCGGATCAGATTTCATTTTCGACTTAGGGATCCATGCGTGATTAGTTTCACCATGCGCAAATTACAACTAAACTTCCATAGTGTCCTCATTGGGTTCGTTAGAACACCGATTTTAATCTAGAGCATTTTTTCCTATTTAGATAATTATTAGTGACACCAAGAACCTGTCACCTACTCCCCTTATTAATATTTGAGGCATAAACACTCTCCTTGTGATTTGTAGCTAAGACAGGCATCAGATTCAATTTCAGTTTAACAATTGCACTGTTACGGCTACTTTCTCATTATAAGTAACCGGTATTTTGTCCCATGTAAAGTACACAGAAAATAGAGGTGTATTTTAAATGGAAGCAATCTTTGAAATTTTAACATGGTTAGAAATTTGTTCAATCTTGCTGTGTCAAGGAGCCAACACTTGATTATTAAACAGATAAACAGGAGTAATCACAGTTTAATCATTACGTAATGTCCATTGCGTGCAAAGACAGTTTCGCAGACATCGATAGCGTATATGGGGGGGAACTAAATGTACTGGACCTTCGTCGGAGTATCCAAATTATATTCCTTCTGGCTAATCGCAGACGATACCGACGCTGAAATTGCATCTGGAGGCTCCAAACTGATTGCTAATGTTGGTGGTTCTTGTATGGAGGGTGGAAATAATGAGGTAGATGACGAGGAATGGAGATCGACCAATGGAATGTCTTCTGTAGCCTTTGTTAATCGCTGAGTACTTGAAGGTGTCCTCTTGGGAGGTTCTGGAGGGCTTGAGAGACCTATCAAGTCATTCGATTCTTCACGTGCCTTCTCCCGAACGAAGGTATAGGGAGCCGCTGAAGTCAGTGAAAACGGAGTTCTCAAGTTTTGGGTGCTTTCCATTGCCCCAGTTGTCTTCCATCGCCAATTATGCATTACCTGATGGGCTGAGCGCACCCAATCGACTTTGCAACCGGCACTTCTCACACGCCATCAGTCAGCCAGGCCACGGGAGCTGCAGCCCACAGGTTAGAAACAGACGCCATACCTCGAACTTACCCGACAAGCCTCGTTAAACAAGTCGGACGCATGAGAGTTAAGTTGAATGTGTGCAATGTTGCGTTCAAATCAGCGAAGGTTTGAGGACGCATCATACAGAACGGCTTAGACCGCGGTTAAATGTCCACTTATTGTTAAGGATAACGTTTACTTCAAAAGATAACGTTAAGGCTTGAGATATTAACTTTCCTTTCAAGAAAATTGAAAATCTTGTCTGATTATAGAGTTGCTTTCAAGGACATTAATTCTGAATATGATTCGCACTTTCCTTCAACTACGACAGACATAATACACCAGCGTTCAATGTCAATGCCCCGGCTACTAACCAGTTTCACATAGTGATGCGTAAATAACCCTGTTCGGCATTCATAGCTAGCAGTGGAATTCATTGAAAGCATGTTATCGACTTTCTAATTTTACCTACTCCCGTTAACGGAAAGAAGCGAAAGGCCAGGAGCCTGCTTTGAAACTAGAATAAAGCACAACAACAATAAATCAAATTGAACGCTACTCCTTGCGGATGCAAAACAGGGGTAAGAGAAGCATGAACGTGTAGTGAATTGTATAGATTCACGTCCATCAACCCGGGAGTTGGAGTCAGCCATTCACCGCTCCCCATTTCAAAGGTGGACCGTCAACATGCGGGACCGTCTGCTCGCACACCCCTGTGCATTTGCCTCCCCCCCCACCCGCTACAGGCCTCACGCATCTGGCCGTTCAATCATTTGTACTTTTATGAGTTCACACAAGCTGTGTGGGTCAACAACCCCCATTAGTCATGCCCCACTTGGAACACAGGCACACGACACCACAACTTCCTTTAGACAGTTGAGTCTCCTCCTGTCTTATTTTGCCTTGGGTACTTCGCGCTGTGTCGTGCCGAAACAAACTTACGTCAGACAATGTGACGTATTTAGCGAATGGTGAATTATTTAATCACCACTTGCTTTCTTGATTTGAAAAGTGGCCTTTGAGGATTAGTTCGTGTGAAGTGCTTCCAAGCAAGCTTACGTCGCATTGCACCTATTAAGTCTTCTCGAGCTGCAACATTTCAGAACAACCAACAGAGCCAAAACAGTCACCTCAATTGTCTCCAGTTAATTGAACTTACCACATTCTCGTTCAAGTGCAAATGAGGCTGTGCATAAGGAAGTCTTTCACAAGGAGATGTGTGCATTCGATCCATAAACAAACAGCAACACAAAATCATTTTGAATAACCATCGAAATATTTGATACCAAATGCTAAGAACCCAATGAGGTTGAAACAAAAACAGTGATTAGAGCAGATAAACATACCTGAGCCGTAGAGGGACGTAGCCATGGCTGCAGCAACCAGGGGGTTCGCAGGTGCGTTGAGCTCTCCGACACCCTCGCCATCACCGTCCTCGTCCACGCCGGCAGCACTGGGACTAATCAAGGCGGAAAGACCACGACTAAATTTCCCTTCAACTCCTGCACTCGTTGCTGTTCTCAACTCTCCTCTAACTACAGCGTCGCTAGAAGTTGCAAAAAAATATATAGTATTGTTTTAGGAAGTCAAATATCACAGTTATGGACATATGCCTAAGGACAAGCCTACCTCTGCTGGCGCTTATCAAGACACCCAGGACGACCGCTTTGCCTAGGCAGACTTTCCACAGAGGCTGAAATCGAAACGAACATGACAGTGGACTTTTAAAAGTCATTTGGTCTGACAATTCCGCAGCATTTTCAGATTGTCACTGTTTCAAATCTACTGCCAAGCATTGATTAAATAAAATGCGTAATAGTTCTGATTAGCCCTGTCATCGAAGCAATGCATGCAATGTATGGAGTTGATTCCCCGAAATGGCAAATTTTTGTAGAATGTCAGTTATCTCGGCAAGATAAATGAACCCAGCACATAACGCTTTTGGTATTAATAGAAGGTCAATTCTAGGGACCTGGCAGCTAGTCGTCCATCAGTAAGTTTTTGTTACTGGTGTACAAACTTCAAAGCTTGACTGTGACTTGGCACAGCCACTTTTGCTAATGTAAAAAACGGGAACTACATCTCTAGGGAGAGAGTAAATGTTGGTGATGGGTTACCTTATGCTGCGCAGGTTACTGGTTAAAATTTATCCTTCAACCACTAATTTAACATGCGTCGAAAGCAAAATACGGGAAATAAACTCTTACTCTGAGGCTTTTAAGACATGCAAATGTCCACTTCATTCGATAATCATTCACAAAAAGAGGGGTTTGAAAGTAAAAAAATCATCAAAAAGCATAATTTTCGTTTCCTCGAAAAAGCCTATTTCGCGTCTGTTTCACGGTATTCCACCATGCGTGCGTGTTATACTTTGGAACCAAATCACAGCCTTTGCCATTTAAAAATGACGCGTTTCGTGGAGTGTTCCAGTCAAAATGTATGAAAGCCCGTGTAATAAATGTCTTTACACCTCAAGCAGTAGTAGGTTATGTGATTCCCTAAACGTCTTACCGGTTAGGATGGGTTTTCTCTGTGACAGAGTGCGGTGATGGCTGAGAAATCGGCTGCCGTCATGAGCAGTAATCCGTTTACCTGAGGTCCGACGGAGAAGAGATTGGCGGAATTCAAATTGAGAAAATGGCCGCATTTGACCGCCTTCTAAGATACCTATACAAGCAACCATGGTGTTAGTTTGTACTTAAGGAAGCATTTCAGAGTACTTTACTCTCTTGTGTCACATAATTCCCACTCGACCGTAAACCCCCACCATAAAGTTGATTGTAAAAATTAATTACCTGTCCGGAATTTAGCCAATAAATGGAGCATAAAAACATCCATGAGCGGTGCTCTTCAACTAGCAGTTCACGTGAGATAGAAAGAATGATTTCGCCTAACTGAATAGGGTTGCTAAATTGAAGAATCAGCTTTGCCTATTACAAATCCTAACGGAGAAGCATGCAACTGTAAATTGTGTCACCACCAAGCGCTTTATTCTGATATGTGTGGACAATCATATCAAAGGGGGCTTCAAATTTACCCTAGGTATTTTATTATTGAGATCAAAAGTTAGCTTTAAACATGGAATATACCGAAATGCTTTTCTGAAGAGTGCCGAAGAATGCTCGGTAAATGCGCACTTGTTGTGGATTTTCCAGACTCGCTGAGTGCCGATGGTGAGAGAATGGAGCTGTTAGTTGCTTGACGTTGGTTTGGGAAGAGTTGGTGCTTTTGACGCATCAAATTGATCATCTGCAATGTAGTAAGCAGTTTTAACGTCCCAAAACAGTACCTACTCAAGTAGACCAACACAAACCTAGCCTTTCAAAAAACCAACAACACGGATTAACATGTTTGCCTGAGATTTTTAAAAGAAACACTAAACTTACCTGTTTCTCCTCCCTTAGTATTTTTAGGTCAAGCAGGAGCTCTTTCAAAAGGGAGAGGATGGTTTGTTGGGGAGGCAAGTGGAGACCAATCAACTTTTGTCCGATAATTTGCTGAAAGGCCTGCTCGCCTTGAGTTTCACATTTGAAGTTAAGCACCTGAAATAGGTTAAGCATTTCAACTATTTTTAAGGTGCTGGGTGGCACCAAACCTACAGTGCCTTTTCTTGACCTATTATTTCATGTGCCGCATCGAATAAAATAAAACACATTTTCACTAGGTCACCATCCGTCAGTTTGACCTTTCATTTAACCGCAATGCTCGTGATAATCACTTCTTCGGTCGACAAATCGCATTAGAAAAGTACGAACTGTGATTATAAAGATATGAGATAACTAGCCAAAAGGGTGAAGCATTAAAATGTAAAGCCACACGTATCGGCTTCCTTGGTAAGTGAATAAAGGTTTTTAGACACAAAGGGAGGCGATGTTTGACCATTGAGACTGAAAAGTTGTCATGCTCAACCTCTGCGTACTAGTAAACCCTACCTGAAACCGAAAGAAGGGTGCCATGTGCATAAAAATGCTCGGTCTGTATGTAACCACGAAGTCGAGGAACTTCCACAACTGCACTCCGCAACACCTATAGAAGGCGAGCTTGGCCAGACTGGCAATGATGCATCGGGCCTTAGCCAGAGCGTGGCGGGGGTAAATAATCAGTATGAGTTTAAGTCCCAAGAATGAAAGCCTGAAAAAAATAAACACAAAGTTTTCATTTAGCCCCTCACATCAGCTGGCTACCAGACAGGTTATAATTTTTGTGCTAACACACCCGTCCTCACGGTTCACGCATGACCGGACACGTTTTTACCTTGATTCCCGCTGGACCACTTGACCTTGTGCCTGGGTATTCACCGACAATTCATTTTATTAGAGCACCAAGGCTACAGGCGTTCTACCTCACATGCACACCAACCAACATGGGTCATGACACCAGTCTTATCAACAAAATAACCGTTTGAGCCGCCATTGCTCTCGCATTTTTTCCTCTTCCTCCCCTGGCACTTCGAGTCTTTTCGTGCCGCAACACGAGGAATCTGTTCGCTGAGCCCGCGTTAAGGTCAACGGTGAAGTCTCAATGATTGCCAAGTCATCATGTTAGGACCGCCAGACCAAGCGATTAGGCGATGTGATCAGGTTGGGCGATATAATCTCAGACATATCGATATTTTCAAGTAGCGGGGGTCATCGAGAAAATGTACAAAATGGGCATATTCGATTACAAAAATCGCTAGATAGAATAACGGTGAACTTTACCTACAAGGGATTGAATAGGTAAAGTAAAATGATGTTTCGAATAATGACATTGAAAATCTCTAGAGTGGGCGAGTTGCAAACTTTCGAGAAACTGTTCACAAAAAAGACTCACAGGCTAATGTCTGGTTTGCTTTTTTATTGTGTTCAGAATCACTTATTTTCATTTGGTTAAATAATTCAATGGCAAAATAAACACGAGTTCCGCGAATATCAGGTGACTGAAACTTTTCTTGCTGCGCCATAAGTATGCATCATGAAATCTAACTTTAAAATTCAATCAAAGTAGTCAATGTAATTTTGAGTAGAATCCGCTAGGGGATTTAAATGCAAGCCACCCGCACAGTAATGAAAAACGAGGACGCAAACAAGCCTTCATATGGAGTTTGTGAGAACGCTGCGTGATTGATTCCCAGTCCCAGCAAATCGCCCGAATCATTCAGAGCAGAAAATAGTGAATTATCCAAATATTTTAGTCTATAATACTTTAAATGAGTTAGAATTTGTGTGGAGACTAAGCAAACGATTTGGTTACGCGCTAATGTTTATTTCAGGGACTGCAGAAGATAGCGGCGTAGCCACTATTGGTCCAGGTTAGGGTTTCAAACTTCAACAGACCCAATATTTATGATACATGAACTCCCAAGCACACAGAATTCAATCCAACTTTCGGGATAATCAATTCACTGTTTGTTTACACACCGTCAATTTAGTTCAAACATAGAGCATAAATGTGCGTGTGAATAAGTCGGTGACTAGGCCACAAGAGATTTTACGGCCTTAAAGAACATTAATAAATAAAATACAGTTGCGTGAATCAGTGGGGCAAAAAGTACACCTTTTTCTAACGCGACTTGGTGAATTTTCGGATGAGTGTGTGTCTTCGAAGTTAAAACCAAATTTGGGAGGACAATGAGTCCAAGTTTTTCCCTATAATAAAGTCTGATGTGACAAAATAAAACTCTTTTGGCCTCCAGCAAGCAGGCGATACTATGATAGAGAGGAAAAAATGAGTCAGCTGTATCTATCAGGTAATTATGGTTTTGTCGCTGTATTTAACGAATTTCAAGTGAGCCAACAGATAGGAAATATCCTCAAGACTTCTATTTTGCTTGGCAGTTACAATAAGGAATAGCATTAGTAAAAATGAATAGAGAGCATTCCAGGACTATCTACTCAAAGTAGCCTTTGTGTTAGAATCATAGGTGGAAAAGAATATTTAGGAAATTGATAGCATATGGTTGTCAATTAAATAATAAGATTGTTTGCCAAAGTAAATTGAAATCTGTGAACTCTACAGGAGTAGGTGATGGAATTCTGGGGGAAACAAGTCACCGTTTGCTCTTGGGAGGTCCTTTCGAAGCTTGCGATTGCCCATTTTAAATGACAACGGAGGCCAAATTACCAATTAAGTTATTTTTAACAAAGTGAAATGTCTCACTCCCGGATATCACACTAATCCGTTCAGACATGCACTTTGAGTGTTCTGACGAAGCCGGATCAGCTACGATTTAAAATCTCACATCAGCTATACTTAGAAAATTGGTGAACATGGGCTATTTATTTCAACCTGCTATCTGTTTCGTAAAGTTGATTCAAAGCTTGCATGTGAAACTCCCCTTGCCGAACAACAAAGCATAAAACGCAGTTACATTTGCGAAGATCGTGATCAGTCGATGGTGTGCCTGTTTTTCTGTATTAGGAAAAAGAGGCTTTATTATAGCAGTGCGCTCCCTAACAGAAGCGTTATCGCTTATTTGTCACGTTGAGCACAGGTATTGACCACCTAACATTCACTCTCCTTCGTCTCTGAGAGCAGAGACGGCATTGGTTAAAAGGGTTAAAGTCGGCAACTGCTACAGTGGCGGTGGGAGCGATAATATGGGTAAACGTTAAGAAGTGAGAGTGGGAGAGGCGTGGAGTGATGAGAGCAAAAAAATCCAGCTCGGTAAGCACACACACACACACGCGCGCACACATCCTGCCTTACCTAGTGTGCATGGCCTTGTCTGCCTGCAACTTATACCTGAAAGAGGCTTTATGAAAGTGTATAAATGACTATTAAGCCAAAAGCCACCACTTTCTCCGAATACTACAAAAAATATTCCTTCGTTTAAGTAACACACACACGACTCCATCAACTCGGATTCGAAAAAAGAAACCGTTTAAAGAAAAATAACTTTTTTATTTTTTTTGTACTGACTAATTTGGCATTAAAATAACTGAGGGCAAAATTTTTAAGCCCACTGAGAAATCACCTTCATTTATTTGAAGATTTAACTCTATTGTGCTACTTATAATCAAACTTTTTAGTCTTGGATTGTAGACGTGGGTTGAAGAATAAGTCCTTGGGGTTCATAATTGATGAGATCGTAAAGGTATCATTGTTCAATGAGAAATAACAGTTGTCTATAAATGGCCTCCAGTTTAGGGTTTCCGAAACATAAGCCTTGGAGAAAACATCTGTTTCCGAATTTAATACATTAATTGATCAGTCTAGCAAACATTCGACACACGGAATACAGGTGTGCTGAGGTCGGATTCAGCTTACTTTAAAGAATGTTTGAGATCGCGTGCCCAAGCAAGCACGCCACATAGAACCAGGCTGTGCTAACGGAGGCAGTGGTAGAGCATCTTATCGATCAATATATTTACAAATTGCAGAAAAATTGCAAGCTTGACAACACCCTGCGTATCTTTTTATTTATCAGCATCATCGAATTTGATTACTTTTAAATACTACATTAATATCGGAAAAGAGGGGCCCCCAAATACAACAAAATCATGAGTATAAGGTGACTAAAAACGTTTCGAATAATAGATCCGATAAACTGAAAGGTATAGGCTGACAAGTTATCTGGAAGAAGGTTAATTTTACTATTGCCGCTTCGTTCTTAGTTTCGACGAGAAATTAATGGCCTTAAAAAGCGTGCTTAAAGCCGTTTCTTTGAATGTACAGGCAAATGCGGGTTTCATTTACAGTCATAATTCCATCGAAATCGCGGTAAAATCTACCCAAGAGATGTCACCTCTATTGTGGAGCCTATCCTTACGCATCACTTCCTAGATAGCAGTTTTAGCTATTGTTATCGTGAATTATGCACCGGTACCGGCTGTGCTTCTTTGGGGGTAAAATAAACTTTAATCAATCGATTTCAAATACTTGGAAAATTCACCATTCGCTGCAGCTGCCTGTCTTTCCTCACAGTAACTGCCCCTACTTCCCATCTTTGAAGTAATTAAAAGAGCAGAACCGTTACTAACCATTTTCGATGCCTTGATGGTTCCCCTTCTTTTATGTTTTGTTGCTCGAAAATGTAATGCTCACCCCTTTCCTACTAGACTAATTAGAGAACACCTTGAATTCGGATTAGCCAAAAAATAAGAGGAATGTGAGGTTAATTGCAACCACAATAATTCAGATGCCACTATCGACGCATTTCTCAGTGCCATAGCGAATGAACACTTTAGTTGACCGAATAATGTCGAACTACCACAAGGCGCTCCAAAAACCATCATGGTGTAAAAAAGTAGCCTTATTTATGCATTTAGACGTTAAAATAAATTGGATTTTCTATGCTGGCAAAATCTCTCTCCCTTAGAAATGATGGATACTAGTAGTGATGGTAAGCCATCCATCAATTCGTCATTGCTTTTTAACAACGGAAATCAGTGTAAGTCCGAACCGCTGTGGGTGGTTACTCTGACACCGATCAAGCTAATTTCTTCTGTTTTGTTGACAAAAGTTTCATTCACGATCCATGATAAATGGAAAGAGTCATCTCGTAGATCTGCTGCCTCATTGACAAGCAGCCTAAATATTTCCACTTTGTAATAAGGCTTTACATGAGGGACTTACACGGAAAAACCAAGTAATAGGTAAAAACCACCCTGAAGATTCTAAAAAATTTCCTACCTGTGAACAACATCGATTTGTGACTGGACGATCTTTTCATGATTTGAAACTAGAGAGGAAGGGGCATAGCTAGACCCAAGTGAATTGCCCGTGGGAACTGGAGCTTCTTCTGCCTTTTGATGTCTCATGCTGTGGAGGGTTGGACCAATTAGGTTCACCACGCAACCGTGTACACGGCCTCCTCCGAGATCACAGGCTAATCCTGAGGGTCCAAGCAATTCCCAAGTGGATCCCGTGACAGCCGGGCCTCCAAGCAGGTTGGGAAGCTGAAGAAGACCAGTTACTCCCACAGTTCCTGACATGCTCTGTCCAAGGGACGCCTTGATTCCACTGACACCAGAAGCGTCTCCCATTGGTCCTGAGGATTGTGCGGATTTCGAATTGGGCATGATGGCGAAGGAGGAGTGAATACCTGGTTTTTTATTTCCCTCAGAGGTAATGTGATCTGAAGCAATACCAGAGGGACGACTCGAACCCGCACCAGAAGTCTCCGAAACACCCGGTGGGATGATCCCACCTGCTGTTGCGCACTTCTCGGAACCAACAAAGAGACCTGAGAGACAGACATCTAGGGCGTAGTACACATTCTCCTTGGAGAGGCTTGGATAGTCTAGGTGTAGAATAATAGGAAAGGATTAGAAACCGTATTTCAACATATAGGCTCAATATTGCCAGATTTAGTCTTGCTGTAGGAGTGATGATGATTCCCATTAAAGCCCTAAATAAGCAAATAAAATTGAGGACAAGCTTCTCTGTGGACCACCTGGGTTGTGAAAAAACAGCTGCCATTTTTGTCGGCGCGAAAAGGTACGACAACTTCGTTTAATCTGCATGTTCTGTCAACACGTTAAAACCAAATACCTGAGGAATGTCAAATTTTTGGGCGTGAATCTGGTAACAGGATAAAGGTTTGCTTCGCCGTATTACCACCACAAAAAGCTGACAAAATAAGCCATAATGCACATGCTCTGCATAGTGACGGCCATTATAACACTTGAGGGATCGATGTAAAGGAAACCATGTGTACTAGTGATTCCTTACCCAAACTATATTTATGTTTAAACAAACTAACGGAAAAGACATGAATACAGCAAAACTAGTTGCTTGTTTCCTGAATTGCTAGGCCGAATCAAAGGAGACTGCTAGTATTGCATCACACTTGTAATAGCAATCAAACATGCATTTATTCCTTACTTGCAAGTAGAGCGAAACAGACGATGTGCTCAAATGACGAAGAAAACTAAGTGAAAGACATTTTTGGCCTTCAAACCGACCTTTCTTTTCATTAGAAAACTACGGTGGCATTTATTGTGTGCAGTTTTATGGGAAAACAGCATTACGGTCAATTTACGTGTGGAGATAGAAACCAATTCGAAAAATATTGCATAAAAGTAGAATTGATCACTTCAGAATCCACTGAGTTTAATCATAGCTTGATTAAAGTGATCGTGGCTGTCCGGATCCCTGTCGACAGTGTGTCGTCTGCATTAAAACTAATCGACTTGGTTTATCACGCCAGGCTGCTGCGATTGGCTTTTAAAGTCCAAAACCGACTTGAAAATGGTGCGTTGGCATTTAGAAGGTGAGTTCTCAGCACAAGCAGTTGCAAGGGCAAAAGCACCGGTTCTAAGGTACTGACCTAGGTTGTTGCCACGCCCTAGCAATTAACAGTTATATTCACGAGTTGACAAGCCGCAGTGACAACACGGGACCTGGGTGTTAGACCAGGGTTGCAATTATGGTCAACGGTTTCTGTCAGCAATGGTTAACTCGATTGGTATAAGAGATACACTGGACGAAATTCCACTTGAAGAAATGAATTCCTGAGATAATAAATACGAACAAACTTCCCAAATAGGCAAGCACGAAAACTAACACTTGGAATTCACCGTTTCAAGCACAGGGATGCAAAACCCATGATTCTGACTTGCAAGTTAATAATGTCGACAAACGAAAGGCTTGATTATCATCATTGCAATCCAACCTTAGTGACAAACCATTGATGTTTGTAATCAACTAGTCGAACGAAAAAGATACCACTAGGGTCTCGCAATTGTGTTCTGCTGCACTTCGTAGTCTGCCCTTTGTTAAAAATTTATGCCTCATAAAAATGTGGCCCAAATCACATACAAATGGGTTTAAAAAGGGGAAATGGGAAAGAACGGTGGTCCTTAATCCTCTTCGAATACACCAAAGTATGGTAAATCAGTACACACACTCCTTGCGGTACCTACAAAGGCGTAGCAGCGTCCGCTAGCTAATTACAGTTTAGTTCATTCAACAGTTTAACGCTTTCATCAACACAGATTATTCAATTCACAAATAAAGTTCATCTGCAAATGGTAGTACTCGGTACTCAAGTCAACAGGACGTCACGCAAACTACATAACCAACACCACGTGAGAGCGAGGGGCGATATGTTATTCTACTTCCTTCCGAATATTTTTTTCCTATTAAATTTCGACGCTGAACACAACCAATCAGAAGCTGGTATCCGCCTTTCACAACATGCTCACGTGTTGCAGCTTCTTTTTGCTTCCAATTGGCTCTATCAACCATCCAATCATATTCCGGGAAAGACCACATCCCCAAACCCAAGTAGTTCGTCGGCTAGCTGGAGATTGTCTTGCTTTTTCGTTTCCCAATTTCATAGTCTGTGACTGACCATTGTCACCAAATTACCTAAAGATTCCCATAAATAGTGTCTATAGTTCATAAGGACCTGATTCACTCCTAGTTTAACACCTAGTTCAGAAATTCCACTTTTATTGTCTCGCTATGAGTTCACAGATGCGGACGGCAAGCGATTTGTATTATGGATTATATGGGGACACCACCAACCAATAACGGCCATTACAATGCAGTAAATTGGATGACTGGAAATACCTCTTGAAGTTTTACGATCACGCAACCTTGATTTAGGATGCTAGGTTATAACGGAAAATTCCAATTCAATAGATGGTCCAAGGTTGTTTTAAATTTAAACTGAAAACTTGTTTCAGAAGTAGGTATCTATAATTTATTTCAGGAATTGACTCACTATTCGGCCAAGATAAGGGCGTTTGGGCTAGTCAGAGAATCGAAATACAGTCGCTGTTGATCCAACATGACAAAAACTGGCAAACTCATTATCCCTTAGAGATGAAAAGTTGTTTTAGTGCGTCTGTTGCATGACTAAAACACTTATGTGGTGGTACCAAAAATGGTCTCCGACCCCATACTGATTAACGCGCTAAGAAATTACCAATACAGCTGGGATTTTACTATGGCACAGTGAAGTAATTAACCTGTAAATTGAAGAAATCCGAATATGCCTTAATTTTGGCATAAATATTTGGCCGAAATCAGAAATTAAACAAATTATAAAACACTGTATCAACTTAAGGTGGCAAACGTCGCGCATAAGCCAGGTCACTAAAATTAACAATAGTTTGCATATGCTTAGATGCTGTCAGCCTCTACGGTTTTTCCCTTTTTCGTTGTGCATAGGGGATCACCTTAAGTGCACTCAACACTATCCGACTCCAATTCCCTGAATGATCCTGAAATGTTAGCCGTAGAAATACGAATACGTTACGCTCTTTCCGTAAAAACCTAACGATGTGGCTTAATTCCCGTCAGAGAATGGAGGGGAATATGCACGACTTACGTGGTATGGATCACGGTTACATTGTAACCGCCGGAAACCAACTGCTCGTCTTGTGCAGATTACCTTTGAACTGGAAGATTAGTTATCAGCAACCTGCGACTTATTTAATCTTCCTTCCAGCCAAGTATTTGTCCAGTCTCTTCCAAACACTCTTCCAATTTAAAATCCCCGTAATTTGAATTGGCCGCTGTTTATGCGACAGATATTCACGCATCACGCGTGGTGGCGGGATACACGGTTGTGCCTGCATTATCGCTTTGGCTCAACATCCAAACTTGAACTTGCATTTTTAGTTCATGATGCGACCAATTAAATGCAACTTGTGAAGTTCGAAGTTTCAGCATTATTGCGTAATTTTCAACAGTTCATTTATGAAAACAGAGAAATTCGGTGCCAAGTAAAAAAAAGAACTTGTAAATTTAACAAAATGCGATCATTTGGTAGTAAAAATGTGTAAATGTGATGTTAAATATTAAAACCGTCATATAATTACGGTAAAACAAGTGCGTCATACCTTTGCAACCAGTGCTGCATTGCAACAATAGGGGGACAATCAGATAGGCGAGGTAATTGGAAAGGTTCTCAGTGCCACCCTCAAAAATCGTCGGGCAACGACAAAACTCGAAATTTGGTCGTTCACAAAGGTCCTTTAGTCGATATGAGGACTAAAATTGTCAATGAACAAGTGTAGAGAGTTTGCTTTTGCTAGGAAGCGGAGGCTTTAGTTTTGACAGACAGAAGAATTTCTTCTTATTTCATATCTTTCACTTGACTTACTATCACGGAAATAAAAGTCGAGAAAAGCATTCTAATTTAAACACCAATCCGAGTCTAGAATATGTGTCTAAAATTTGGGAGTGCTGATGCATGTCTTAGAAACAAAGAGAAGCCATCCAGCTTACCTCAAGACAACTCAGCATGAGAGCGATGAACCTCGTTGACTCGGAAGCGAATGCGGCAGGGAGGCAGCCGGTGTCTGAAGGCCTGTCAGCCGATAAGCCTCTCCTGGCCAACGAAGAGCTCAATGTGCTCGACGTTGAGGTGGGGCTTAGGTGTGATCGACTACGTGGGAAAGTAGAGCATATTTTTCTCAAGCAGCTATAATTATGCAGTTACACATCGTTGATTTTGAAAACCACGCTCTACTTTAAATAAATGAGTTTTGTGGAAAATATGCTCCAACTAGAAATGGGTTTCATAAAAAATTTTAAATACAACTAGTTCACAGACTGACGGCCATTCACTATGCTGAATTTATCCACTAATTTGCAATCGGATCCTGCGTGGACCGCTGACTGGCATTTGTAAAGTCAATCTGACCAATGGCAATAAATCCTATTCGCCTGTAGTGGGTCGCGTTGATTGACGTCCATGGACCCCGTCGTAGCGAACTCCGACACGACCTCCTATCCCAGCGTTCCCGTCTTTCGGGCGGACGAGTGTGATCACACCCCTGTGAGCATATCACCCTTACTACCAAGGCCATTCACCTGGCCACTCAATCACTTGTATTGACCAACAGCCTCAATTTGTCATGCTTGAATTTGTTAGGCACAACGCAGCGGCACACGCACGATATCACAGACTTGAGCCATTTGGTTAGCAGTCATCTCCGCACTCTATGGTATTCTTGATCTGCCCTGGCGTCTGTGTAGGGAAATCGGGCTGATACTAAAAGGCTGCTCCAGTGTGGTCCAAGACCCATACCGGGACCTCAGAGACATGAACAAACTTACTCCCGCAAACTGTGGGGCAACTGGTGGAAGTTAAATACTGTTGCTCAAGTGTGTATTTATGGCTTCTGATGAGATGAAACCTCACTTAACTGTATTCTAATGCATCTTAATAAAAGTTTAGGAAAACTTATCGCATTGCCACCACAAAAGGAAGGCGGTCAATGAATGTTTCGAAAAGCTAAAACTTCCACTTACTTTGCAGGGTCACGCCTATTGGTAGAGGAGGTAACCAAATCCGGGTGAAATGTGACCACCGGTGTGGTGGCATTTGTCCGATCACTGCCAGTGGCCACGGTGTCCGCGGTCGCACGACGACCATGGTAGTAGTGGTGGTGGGCTGCAAACATGGGTGCGGCTGGTTCCAGTGGGTTCGCTAAGAGACGCTCTGTAGACCACCACGCGTTCGGCCCCACGACGAGACTTCGTTTCAAATAATCATTGAACAACTAAGGAAGCGGAAATGCCCAACTAAAGAGCTTTTTATTTTCATCAGTTAGCCTAACATGGAATGCACTTATTGAGGTTTGGCTGCGTCAGGATTGCACGAGAGACCCGCAAACTCCCGTGGAAATGTGACACGTGTGCTGACTTAGGACACTCACTTGGCTCCAGCAGTTTCATCATCGGCCGGGTATCCAAGGTAGTAAAGGTGTTGCATCAGTGGAAATTCTAGCAATGGCCATATTGACAAGTCTCCAGTAACTGGATTGAATGGCCCCAAATGTTTAACTTATTAGCTAATCAACGCCATTTTAGAAACTTTATCAAGCCTTTCTCAGTGTTAGCAGGTGTGAATTAATGGTTTTTATGGATTTGAATTTCTAAACTGCAAATGAGTACCGCTGGATACATTATGTTGACTACTTAGCGTGAAATAACATGGGAATAACTGTAAAATTCACACTTGAAACATAGTGCGACCGAATTCTAGTTTGAAATCGTTATTAGTTCAATATCAGCAGAACCCAATTCCTCAAATTTTACAACAATGACATGGCTAACGACTTAGGAGTCAGAGCCAGTAAACGAGCCAAAACACAACGCCTTGCGGGTTGGACCTTCAAAATAACGTTTCTGACACTTTTACTTCACGTCAACATGAGCATATATTCTTCCATTAACAATAACTAAAAATGACAAAAAAATGACGTACTTTTATTTCCTTTAAGTGCGCAACTGCCCTGTTTCGTTGAATAGTAAGATAAAGTGATTTTATTAGATTTTTCAAATGCTCCCAGCTGATCTGCCTCTAAAAAATGGAAAATATTAACAAGTGACTTATGAATATATTTAAAATTTGAAAAAAAAATAGATGAAAAACTCAAGACTGAACCAGCCTTAAAGAGTTTGCAAGTTCGATTTAATATTTCCAAGATATCTCATAAAGTGGATGACGGTCTAAGGCGAATTATCCATAAAACCCTATGAATTTTACCCACATAAAATCCATTCCTATGCCATTAATTTGGAGAGCCGATAGTCTGATTCGGCTAATGCAAGCTGATTTCCAGAGCATTTAGCGGAATTAAAATTTAAAATACTTCCTGTGGCTTAAATGTAGTCATAAAATTAGTTGAAGCTTCTGGTCCTAGGTTTTTTAAAGCTTATTATGAAATTGGAAATTGAAAAAAACCACTCAGCTTCGTCTGGGAAATGCGTCTGGCGATGAAACCATCCTCCCTGCCACCCAGTGGAGGCAAGTTGGTGAAAGCTCACGAATTTCTGGCAACATTTTATTAGTTGGCCCAATAAAAAAGTACACGAAATGACTGCTTAATTAGAAGGGTTTCAGTGTGAAAGAATAGCTAATTTCGCCACCTGAAGACTGGTAAGCAATGCATCTGATAACCAGTGAATTAACGTTTTAACTGAAAAGTTACTTTTCCTATCCACATGTTAAGGTATTTGGTTTGGCCGTCAGAGGTAGCAAACTCGATTTGCCACCGGTCCCATATCCTTCGTTATTTGTATTTTACCCGTTTTGGCGTCTTAAAAAAGATAGGTCAATGCGGGTGACCCAGCTTAAATAAGTGAAGCAAAGGTAACCGCTTTGTTTTGCCAAGTCAAGTTAGTAGGTATTCAGGGCCAACACAGCCACCTACACGAATCGAGGCGGTCTCGAGCATCTTGGGTAGGGTTCGATTAAGTCGCCCAACCAGGGTTTCGAGGGCTTTGCAAGAGCGAAGAGATTCGTGGCTCCAGTCGGTTAGAGGTAAAACCTCCAGAAAAAAGCGCTGCAGCGGTTGACTCCTTAAAAGGCCGACATTGTGGGGAAACTGTTTAATAATTGATTGTGCCAGTTCAGAGAGGCGCTTTAATGCAACAAACAGGACATTTCAGGGTCAGAGCAATAAAAAGAGGTTATGAGAATTTATTATTTATCCTATCTTATTTGTCAGCAAAACAGTTTTATTTCGCAATTGGCTAGTTTATTTAATAATTTTTCTAACAAGTAAATAAAAAACAAAAGCAGAGTCTAAATTTTTAAGCCACAGAATATTCATGCAATTTGATAATTTCACAATAATTGCTTTAACTGAGGGATCATATTAGCTGAAAACGCGAAGCTGGAATATGGCTTTAAATTTCCGTAATTACGAGGTTTGAATCAGTTTGTAAATTACAAAACGCTTAGGTTGTGAAAGTAATGTGGGTACTGCAAAATTGTAGCTACCCACCATGATCAAGATTTCTCCAACACGCGTATTCCAACTATTCTGCACTCTAAGTACGAACTCAAATGCATGGAACATCAAATAAATCTAAATTAATACAGCACTAATATTTAATACATAGATGTGTTGTTGATTTACGGAGAGTTGAAGATGATTAGCAGTAGAACAGATGACCTTGTGTTTCGACCGCTAATGCAAATGCAAAACTTATAGGTAGAAGTTTTACCGGAGCATTAAAGGAATAAATTACTCAGTGTAAATGAACTATCTTTTCATTAAATTAAAATCAGCACACAAAACCATTGCGTACGATCGTTTCTCAGTTATCTATAAAATCGTTTTATTTAGTGGTTCACTAGTCTAATTGCATGGAGCTTCGCGTCCTTTAAAGTTATCAGGAATTGCGTTTAACAATGTGTTTGTCAAGATATTTGAATGCTGTTAAGATTAAGCGAATACTTTCATCAATTTCACACTAATAACTGATACAAAAGTACATCATAGAGTTGAAATTCACGTCAAAAATACCTCTGGAAAAAAGTTGGAAACCATTGTTTGCGCGAATGACTTCATAAACGCATAAAAAGAGGCCAAGTTGTCAAAATCGTGTTGGCAGGAAAGCGCTTATTTATGTACATCCTCATTAACATTTCATCAAACTAACATCCAAGTAGCCATTAGGAATTTCGGTTATTGCAACGTGCTTTAAAAATGCAATAAATCTAGTATTGGAACACTCAATAAAAGACGCTACACAAGGATGCACGCGTTTCGTTGAAATAACGGAGACAAAAGTGTGGATTCTACTGGAAGCCCATATTTTATGACAATTATTTTTGCTAGTAAAATCACCTTTGTAGGAACCTCGAGTTTTTTTTAAAGAAAATATTCCCCGTTAAGTAGAATTGCTGTTTAGTTGATTCCAAAAGCATGATTTAACCTGCGTTTTCACACACAAAATGGCATTCTAGGCATGTGCCTCAAGCCAAATGAAGCGTGTAGTTGGCACTAAAATCGTTGGAGATCTGCTTTTACATTAAAAAACACTGGTGATGCCGACAAACTGATTCAAGGTGAATTCAAGATCGGCTCAAAGTAGAAATCACGGTGAAACACAAATATTCCAAGGAAATCACCAAAAAATGTCAACCTGTTAAAGTTGTAAATTCAGTAAATTGGTCAGGCACTAAGTATCGTGAGCCGTGAACGTTCAGGTTCCGAAACGACAGCTCCAAAGAGCCAAGGAGCGAGATTAAAAAATAATACACAACAAATGAAAAAGGCTATCAACAAGGGCGTTTTGTATTGCAAGCCACCGTTTCTGCTCACAGACCCAAATGACAAGAATATGATTTTATTATGTCAACCTTAAAATCATCAGAATTTTTAATTTCTCCAGATTAATTCATGCCTTTCTGCTCCTACTACTGTAGTTAGAGTACCTAGATCAAGTAGATTGAATAGTTAACATACATAATTGGCCAGTTGATGAAGGCAAACAACATTAATTTGACCTGACTTCTAGAAAGTAGGTAAGTTTTGTTGTTGCGCAGTCACTGATAGTTTTTTCTACATTTATTCCAAGAATATATCTGTATGCTAATTAGAAAACTTGATATTTCGGGTTATTTTTGCACTTGATGAAAGCTACATAGGAGGACACCTCGTGCAGAACTTACCATGAAGGCTTTTCCGTCAAATAATTCTGACGACTTCTGTTTCTCACCGAGATCCGCAAGTCGTCGATGAGCGGCAGTCAAGAATTCGGAGGCGATTTGTAGAATCGCTTCTCGCGGTTCAGTGCTCGACTTACGCCAACCAGCGGGAGTGCTGATGTGATACCCACCATCACCAAGTCCTCCTCCTCCGCCCCCACCACTGCCTCCGAGCACAGAGGAAGCAGTTTTCTTCAGAGCCCCCGAACCTGTGCTAAACGAACCTCCCGCTCTCCTTAGCTGACGACGAGAAGAACGTTTGCTCGTCGAATCGGCCGAGGGTGGCCTGCGACCTGCGACTTGAGACGAATCTAAGCGAGGGGAATCACGCTGTGATGGTCTTCGGGTCTGCTGCTGAAGGTTCGAGCAAGTGCCTGAAATTGCCGAGGCCCATTCCGGCACCTTTGGAGGTTGATCAGCCGTAGCGAGACGTTTTACTGAAGCGCCGCCCAGGCCACGTGGACCCCCCGGAACAGAGGCGCCACCGATACTAGTAGACGTGACCGATTTTGCATCGTCTGCCCTCCTAGAATGCGACATTGCACTCTGATAAATCTCCTAAGTGCCTGCTTTGTGTCATTTCAAACAAATATAAGCATACTGTTCCCACTTCGAATTCAAACTCCTAAATATTATTATCCGTTGACCGAAAGGCATTTCGTAGTTGATTATACAGTTGGTACACTTTCAAATTAACACAGAAATTAGCAAAATGGATCCTGCAGCAAAAGTTGCTAGCATTGAGAAGTACACTTTTGCCTACCCACCTTGTCATCCATTCAGTTGTACAGATGAGTTGCTTCAGCATGACAGAAAGCTGCTGAATGACCTGGATTTCAAACTTTCGTACATCCGATCCAGTGCATTCCTCACAGCAAATAATCGGCAAATCCCGCAAAATGTAGGGTAAAATCGCTTGCAGTATAATCTAGAAGTAAGGATAACAAATGACCGCGAGACTCCTTGCTAATGTGTGCACAAATTATATGGTCAACTGCTCGGAAGTATGTTTCGCGTGATTTAACCAGCTCTATTTATGTTACTGTCATAAATTGGAGAATGTGTGAAACTAAATTTGCATGCTGTGGTGATCAGGACATGAACCCCTTTAAAGTTCAAGCAATTAATACCGACCAGATTATCGTTGCCAAAAAAACAATTCCAGGTATTACATAGTTAGCGTTGCCTTTTAGGCAACAGTTTCCACAGCGTAGGAATGAAGGCAAAGCCCTGATGAAATTTGTCGGCCAATCGCCTTCACAAGGAAAGTGAGAGACGGTTTGGGTTGATCTGCGCCCTCGCGAGCGCGCGAGCAAGCCTGGCGCCATGGCTGGACCAGCTCATCACGGCGTAACCATGGCATTTATCGCTTAACATGTAGCTTCTGATTAAATTGTTGGTGTGCGTGGATTAAATAGCATCTGGCCATCGCGTTTATCAAGACTTCGAAGACAAGTGACATTCCTCTCTACTTCAAATTTTCCTAGCTTCGAAACGATTCTTCTGCAATATTAATCTGTTTAATTGTAGTGGGAGCGAAAATAAAATAGCTAGTCACACAATGAGTAAACTAGTTATCGTACATTAAGCCATGCGAATCCTCTGCCCACAAGCGCTGCCCCATAATGACAAATTACACTGGTGATTTGCAGTCATGGTTTGTATAAGCACGAAAGTGGAGGAAATATGGGCACTCACAATTCACCAAAGAAGTTTTCGAATGCTAGACCCATAACGTAACACAGGCTCACAGGAGAATTGGCCTAAGAACTGTAGTTGATGCGAGTTTGTTTTCAATTATTTTATGATACACAGTAAACGTTTTTTAACGATTCAACAGGAGCTCAGTGGCAAGACGTCCACTTACCATCATCTGTCGCGAGCGGTAAGACTCCGGGGCATAAACTTGCACGGTAACACAAAGGTTGATAGTTTCAAATATTGACCAACTCTGCGAGTCATCAGCATAACAAAAGTCCTGAAAGCAAACGAGAGATAACAGTCTCTAACGGTTCAAAAAGTAAATTCTACGAAATGAGCTCAGAATGCTCGTTTTAATTAGTCAGCAGAGATTTTCATGAGGATCGTTAAAACGATCTCATGAGGGTATGTAACTATTTACAAGCAGTTCTTCATGAATTAATCCAATTACCACCATACACCTTCAATCTGTTGAAGCTGTTCTTTTTGCTCAAACTATTCCTGAGCTAGCCATAACACTTAGATTTATTTATGAAATATCACCCTTTTTAACTATTTAGAAATAATCCTACCCACTGCAGTGTATGGTTCCATAATACTTATCGAATTTACGGTTTTATACCCGATAGAAAAGCAACGAGGAAAAAAAGGCGATTCATATGGTTCAAACCTTCTTCCAGATGTAATCGTTCTGGACAATGCGCGTCACTTAAACTTTCTACTATGAAAAAAGTGAAATGAGTCCCGATGATGACCGTTCCTTCAACTCTCGCCTCAGATTGAGACAGAGCGTCCCTCGTCCCTGCCATTCAGGAATTTTTTCATTTACTACTTAACACGAACTCTTCTAGTTAACAGTCCTCATTTGCTTTTTTCCTGCAGAGCACATTAAAGGCTTAGAAGCATACACGACCCTGAATGCACACGCACACAAACAAGATTGAGACATGAACCAACGCTCAACTCCTCTTAATCATCCCGGATATCAGCATGGTTCAACCGGACCAACACAACATAGCGGCCCCGATTTATTTCGGCATCCATACTGAGGCCTCAACAGAATCTTCATATAAACTATTTACCTACAACAAATCACATTATATTCGGACATGCTCGTTAAAGTCACTTCATTTACACATTCAGTGATTTAGAATTCTTGAAAGTCCCACAAAATTCAGAAATAGTGCTACGGAAGAAATATCATTAGTAGGTGAATCACATTAGCTCAAAGAATGTCCAACCATGGAGTCGCAAGCAGGACTGAAGAAGGTCAATTTGAATTCCCCGGAAAATGGTTAAGAAATATTTTATATTAAAAAATAACAATTTATCTGAATTTAAGTAAAGTACTATTTGATTATATTTTGTTCAAAAGGTAAACCTTAGTATGCGAACCGATGATTTTCTTGAAATCTCGGCAACAAAATCAGTCTTGACAAGTTTTCCTGTGTACTACATTTTTGACGCACGAAAATGTTAAAGTATAAAAATTCTCATAATCCTAAATCAAAGGGTTGATGACCCTTAATATGGACCCCTAAGAAATACTTAAGAGCTGATGCTTTACTACTGAGGGAACCTGTGTGTCTATCAACTGACACACCACGGAAAATCGGGGTGGGGCCTTACTCACCAGAGCTTTTAAGGGTTTGGAAAATCCACACAGCTGGAGAATCCCTAAGGTGTCTTGCATATCTCTTCCGATGGCGCGCAGAAGCTGATAAAGCGTCTCGGCTTGAACCTATAAATCAAAAAAAATCTCTGACATAATTAAAGTGAGTAAATTGAGAATGACATGAATTTGAGACGGTATAATTATCCATTCAGACTGAAAATTATTCTACACGTATCTGAATGAATGGCCAGTACTCCAGTCAAAGCAATTACAAAGCTATGTATAAATTCTCATTTTTTATTTACTTTTCAGGAACCAAATTAAGATTTCATGAGCATTGTCTACTCGATATTTAACTCAGAAGACACTTGTTGTCAGGTCATTTATTTTTGCATGTTTAGATAGCTATATGACATTATCTAGCCTGTTAATATGAGCTTTTTGGAACTTTAAGTGGTCATCCATACTGTCATCAGTCATTTAGGAATGTCACATTAAAGGGAATTTCTAGTTCAATCTAGAGTCCTGGTCTAAATTACTAAGTGAATAATTCGGCTTTATGCTAAACCCTTCTTAAGTGATATTTCACTGTATTTTTGCAACCAGGCCTAATAAATTGATGACGAAGCTCAATATTGACACAATCCCAGATCAAGCAAAGGACAGACAGTTCCGGGCTAAAAATCATAATTCGCATTACTATGGCTATCTGATATAGCAAATTTTGTGAAATCTATATGCTGCACAAAACCAGCATGCGGTTTGTAACTGTAGTTGACACCAACTTTAATATCTGCGCAGCAATGGTAAATATTGCACAAAAATTCCTCACAAACCACTTACTTGACTCAATGGTTCTTTTGCAATTTTGGCCAAGAGACAGAATTTAAAAGAATCCTTCCCCAGTATGGACATTTCTAGGCTGTGTAAACTGAACTAACCGATTAAGCGTTTCGACAATGTTAGAACCGCCTCTAAAAATACCGGCCGAAAAATTACTACTAAGCTCATAAATTGCTTGAGATCTTTCGAAGGATCTCGCAATCAATCGGAAGAACTGAGACCAAATAAAGAGTTTCGTCAATAAAATAATTTCTGAGGATCGCCACTGTGATCATAATGTTCACATTTTAAAGGTGCTACAGTTCTTACTTGTATCGTAAAAGTCAGTATAACGGTAAATAATGGGGATTTCTAAAGGATTACCCGATAAAAGGTAGGCTGAAACGTCTCCTCAGGCGACAGATCAATGTAGTTGGCGATGCTGCCAAACATCTGCAGAATGAAGGGAGTTCGGTGCATAATGTAGAATTGCTTGAATGTAAATTCAATGGCTTGTTTGAGAATTTCGTTGTGCTGATTGCTGTGGTAGACCCTGATGATGGTCGGTATGATGCTCAAGTAGCCATTTACTGAAAAGATCATCTTAAACTGGTAGCAGCACTACAAAAAAACAGGAGAAACACGCACCGTTTAATGCACTTTACGATGCCAGACCTTTGATATTGTCCATCAATGATGCATCACAGAAAATGTTGACTGAGGGCAGAGGAAGAAAAGTCGACTCCTCTAAACTCACCTAACGAACCTAAATCGTTTATAATGGACACCGTTGTCGAACATTTATGACCGATCTAGCTTTGTTGCCATTGTTAAAGTGTACCTAACATCAGTAAAAAAATTTTTTACTATTTGTAAATTTAGTTGATTTTACAAAATAAATACTATTCATAGTTGATACTGTCCAACTTCCCTGTTCCTCCCCTATTTTTGTGAATAGAAATCTCGCTTAAACCTTGAGAAAACGGAAAACTTTCTTATTTCGGTAGAGTTCCAAAAAATCTACAATAGACGGCGACGGCCAAAAATCGGGCATTGTACCAAACTGGCATTCATCAGATAACGTGCTAGTAATTGAAGGCATCCACTTTAAATCGATAATTTCTAACTAACGCGATTTTGACTCGTAAGTAGTCATAAATTGGCGTGCCTGAAAATTCAAGACACTTTTGGGCTTTGTTATACCATCTTCCACGTTTTAAGCGTCTCATCGTGATTGTGACTAGGATTCGAGAGAGTATATAGAAAAATTAAATTTCGATAGCCGAACGTAACTTTAGCTGGTATGACCAGCAACACACACATCGATCACAGCAGAAGCAATCACAAAAGTACGATGAATTGCTACCCTGTCAACAGACTGCCTCAGCATTAAGAGCATGGTTCAAATCTTTGAAAAGTAATTTGTCATGGAGAAAGAAAAAAGGGAAGGCCAATGTATTGGCAATCCATCCTTGGTGTTTTACTTGTCCTCTTCACGACAGCACGTTGTTACACTTCACGAAAATTTATTGCACGGATTTGGTTTCGTATCACAAAAACCGGTTTTAATTAAATGGTTATAAGTACGTACTTGTAAATAGAAAGCCATGCATTGACGCAGGATTGTGGCATCCTCCGCATGCAATACGAGAGTACCATTGTAGACGTTAAGAAAGAGCTGAAAGTCGATAGACCAAGGAAATGTGGAAGTCATCTTTTGAAACATGGAGTTTATCAGCTGGCACCAGGTCAACTTGTGCATGGAATCCACCGCAAAGAGGGACTTTCCCATGTCCCCTGACTCGTATAGAGTAAACTCCGCTTCAAGGGCTTTGCGTGGAAAGGAAGGGAGTTTGATCAGCTCCTCACGCAGAAAAAGCAGATGGTTCGACATCTGATGTGGAAAGGAAATACGGTGAAATTCATTGTACGTTAACTAAAATAATGAGTTACAGATTACGGTTGACAGATTTGGGGTGCTTCAAGTTTTATTTACTGGAAATCTGCAAATATCTGCAGCATATGTGCAATTTAACCTTAGGAACTGCGCATGATGTATTTTGTACAGGTTTTAGTAAAACAGTTCCCGTTGTTAATCGTGCTCATACTTTGGGATTGGCTCAATGAACGAATCATAGCTGAAGTAAACCCCTCACAATCACAGATTAAACATTATTTTAACAGTCGACTGTGGGTACTTTTATGGTACCCGTCACCTACCAGAGGTTTAACGTCCCGTTTTTCAATTGTAGTGACTAGAGGATTTAGCACTACCTTACAACCCTCTAGTTAACAGCCCGTAGCTACGCGAGGATAGGAAAAAGGAGGCGACAGAGAACACGACCGTTTACTAGAGTCGAACCAGCCAAGCGGCTTTGTGTGCGTATGAGCACGCGTGCGTAACAGGCGAATGCTGACAAAAATCAATAACAAAAGGGGATGAGTCATCGCTACACACGGGTCTTCATGCACGCACACTCGCGCGGGGCGTAAAGTTATTTAAAGACACTTTAAAGTCGGGATGTGAAGTACAATGTTTCTTGGCCATAGTCATGATTTATGTGAGATCTCACTATAAATCACTTATTTGAAAGTGTTGGCTAACTGAAAATATAAGAAAATCTTAAAATTGCCTAAATAATCCAGAAATAAAAACTACGGATGAGTTTTGCATTTTAAGTTAACAAAATAGTCTGTCCAGGAAAAGGAAGGTGTACGATGATGGGGTTCACCTAAAACACCTTAAGTCAGCAATTAGTCAAAAAGGTTCAAAACACACACTTATTGTAAACCATAGATTTCAAAATTTGCCTATTTTTTTCCGCAATCAAATTTTAATAATTTGACGGATAAGGCAACACTACTCGTAAAAATCAAATTCTCATATTAAACTGCATCTCTTGTAACCTGAAGCAGAGAATGTGATTTTCACCTCAGAGTTTACTGGCTATTCCATATCTGATGAATCAATCTAAATGAATGTCGAAAACACACGCAGATGGTCTGACAGATGGTAAATTAGGCGGATATGGTTGGTGCTTTAGGCAATGGGCATTACATAGTGAGGTTTTTAAAATATTGGATTTATGGAGTCAGGAACTTATCTACATAACTTATGCTTAATTTTGAGTTCCACACATAGCGTTTACACAGAAGTCGCCACAAGGGAAGGATCTTTTTGATACAGACGATTTGCTATTGGACCACAGTGCCTCTCCACATGTTTATTATATCGTGCCAGTAAGTGTGAAAACAAAGTAGGCATTCTGATCCTCCGAGCCTGGGTATTATTGTGATAATCTTACTTAATTCCAATTTTGTTAATGCCCAAAGTTGCAGAAATTAATGAGTCCAACTACCCTTAAAGATTTTAGGCACATTCCTCTTGGCTATTACATAAAGAAACATCTCCCGGTTTTTTGGAAAAATTTAAACTTAATACTTTATTAGAAAAAAAAAGAATTGTAAATCAAGTGGCTTGAGGGGAGAACCGCTGGCATGATATCTAATAATGCGTCCATATCTATCTAAAAGTGAATTTTAGACACCTAATGTCAGTTCTACTCAGACAATTTTTGCCAGTCTCGCTACATACGAGGAAGGGAATTGAGAAAGTGCGAAAAACTATGTTGTGAATAGTATTTAAACATATTTCGGTCCCTCCACCACCGACACAGGATTCCCCTTTTCGCAGCATGTCGCCAGCCGCGCGGATCCTCAACTCCTCCCTCGTTCACACGGATATTTATCTTGGAGCATCCCCACACCTAGGTCTCGATGTTAGCGCAGTGACTCACACATCCGAGGTATAAATACACACGCGCAAGCCCCACACACGACACAACGACACCAACGTGGTTGAGCTCTGAAGTAAACGGTTGTGTCCACGTCCTCTCCTGTCTTTTTCTTCATCGCGGGTATTAGGGAAATGTAATCGGGCCAAGGTTAATTCCGTGGCACCGACGTGGTTCAAGACCAAATCCTGGGGCCCACAACAGCCGGTATCATTAACAAATTAATGCTAGTTCCTTGATTACAATAATTTCGATTTTACTGATTTATTGTAACACCGGGATACGACTTAGTGGGAAAAATGGGTACCCCGGTAAACTACACCTGCATGTAAATAGAAGTTTGCAGAACTTGGGGAGAATAAATTTCTAGAGCTGATATTATTCTATACCTCAGGGAAGACGCACACTAGCATAAATCGTGGATAACAATGTGCATCAACACTAATTGATGTCAGAGTTTACAGCTCATGTTTTCGCCTTTGTCTTGCTAATTTGGAGACAGAATACAATCGCGTTGTCTGCCTAACTTAACATGTGCTTTTCTGACCAGCCGTCTCAACGCTATCATTTACACATTCAAAAACATCCCCACAAAAGTGCAAATAGGCTTAAAATGAAGTAAAACCAGAACCAAAACGCTTTTTCTTTCTGCCTTACATGGGAAGGTGCTGTTGTCTGCAGGATGGTCTTCATCAGTAACAACTTTCCGACCTCTTGAACCTTTAAGCTGAACGCGTTTCGTTGGAGCAATTGCTGACCCGTGTCTCTGTCTACGCGCATTAACCTCAGCTTCGGGATGTGGTTTCGCTTAAAGGGGTAGAAGTCACGCACGTAATGATTGGAGTTCCGAATTATGTCTAAAGAAAAGTAGTAAAAAGTGCTTTATTGTTATTTTCTTTAAACAAAATCTTGCTGTATTACTGTGATAAGGGAAAATCAAACTTGTAGCTCAAATTATCAGTATGTTTTACAAACGAAATGTACCTGATTCAGTATTTATGACCCCTTTGCAATTAAAGAAATAACTTCCAATCAATTTATAGTGGAGATAGCCAACCTTGAGACAGCTTCAACGACACTTACAACTTCAAATATATTATTTTTCTATAGTATTTAATTATAACATTGATGGAGAAAAAAACGCTCTCTAATGCACCTGTTTCCAACAGAATAAATTCACTTCTAAATCTAAGATGAATCCACAGGAGGTATTCAACCAGGAACTGACCTGCAATGTCACTTGATCGCATAGCACATTTTGAGTAGCGAGGCAAACTTTTGCACCAACTTTTTATTTGAATGATTGAACGTTATACATTCATCAACTCTCCGATTAAAATTGCAGTCACCTTTGTGCAGTTAGACAACTTAATGTCAGCAAATGTTATACTCCATTAGAGTGTAAATTTATTTTTTCGTAAAAATTTCCAAATTTAAATAGTACCGTCAGACTAAAACCAGGCCAGGCAGAAATAACTGGACAACCTAATGCATTGCATCTGTGAAAGTTGTATTGTTGTTTTTTTGAATGTCATTGTATCAGAATCACTGAATTTTTTAATAATAGACCGACTCTATTGTTGCTTAAATAAAAAGGGACCATAATGACGAACAAACAGTACTAACAAAGTTGCTTACGAAAGTTAGCATTCATTACAAAAGGAAGAGAAGGCAAATAAAATGTAAACAAAGCTTACTTGAGCGGTCATCGCAAAGAACATAAAGATGATGTTCACTGTGGGGTACACCGTTGCCTTCTAGTGCTTCTGTCAGAATATCGCTAAATCGATAGTCCTGAAGAAGAAATTACAGAGCCCTTTACGATACTTAATTCATCCCCTATTTTTAAAAAGGCATGTGCTACAATGGTGGCAAAGATTTTTTACATAGCCGAAAGGTTAATTTTCTTAGATATTGGTGCAATACTCGGATGGTACTGTACAAACTACCACACACAACCTGATTAAATCGATATTGAGGAATCTATGTGCACACAGTTTTTTTACCACAATGGATTGAAGTTATTTATTTATGCGAGTACTTCTAATTTCTAAGGCTATCTTCGTCATTTTACCTCGATGACTTAATCTTATTATTTGATGTTGATTAGTTAACTGTTCTTATGGGTGCAAAAATTTTGGGAAACAGCACCAATCTCCAAGACAAGTAATCAGCATTTTTTACCTTTATATTAAAAAAATAGCAAAATAGATGGTGCGAGTAAACATTACTTAATTTGATCAAGAAAAAAGTGAGCACTTCTTCATTTAAAATTAGAAAATTAAATTGTCATACAATTGCAAAAAACACCGTGAAAGACTTGTGACTTTTCTGGAGGCCTTCGTTAGAAACACAGATGACAGTCCCGCAATTTCGATAAGTTGACATTTAGTAAAACGTGCACCTACTTTATTGTCATCCTGCAGTTTTACCAACTGAGCCACACAAATTGTGTCGCAGAAAACGTTGAATTGTTTGGCACACGGGAGGCATGCAGTAACCAGCAAAGTTGACTAAAATAAAGAGTGTACACATTCTCTGCTGGTCGTCACAATTAAAGCCATATCAAAAGAACTATCTGATTTGATAAAGCATTGGATAGAACGCCAGCGAAAACACAACAATTTAAGATGGATGAAGGGAGTGAAATAAAACACAGAATCATCAAACACACCAAAATTATTAGCTCAAAGAATTGTGTGCAAAAGGCGTCAGAGCAGAAACGTACCTTGATTTGTATATTATCTCTAATTAAAGATTTAAGCACAGGTCTAGGAAAAAAACGTTTAAGCAGTAATAGTGTGCTCAAATGGTTACAAAGAACAGGAACCTGTTTCCATGCAAAGCAGTCCTCAGTTTAGAAAAAAATTCATCTTATAGCAGTATAACGCTTGCTTTGACCCCAATAAGTCATTTTAGCAGTTGAATCAACGCCAGATACCAAGTTAGTTTCCTTCGTCTCGATGGGCTGAACGTTTGGTCGAAAGCCCCTCCGAGAGGGTGCGTATAAACGTCGCTTAGCGCATTCTCGTCATGCCCTGCTGCAGAAACATTAAGGACCCCCCTGCTGTGCCAGGCTAAGACGGTACGACCGTTAAACCACTATGCAGCAACCTTCGGCAGCTGCCAACCCATTGACCGCGTGCAGGCTGTAATGGTAAGAATGAAGGGCAACAAATTCTACTGACATTAACAACTAGCACAATCTGCAACCTTGTCCATTCAGTGCCAGCTCCTGTTTTGCTTAGCAAACTATCGCCTTCAAATTGCCTTTAAAAACGGTAATATTAGTAAAAATTAACGAATACCAAGCAATTATTATTTTGCACAAGACATAATATATTAGTAAAAATAAAAACATACATCAATCTGCTCACGTCGTAGTGTTTGCTTCAAGTCCTTAAAGTATACGTTCTTGACATATGGTATAATCTACAAAGCGAAACACCGCTTTTGTTATAAGACAAACAAACATGCCAGGTCAGAAATTGCAAAAATCAATGAACTTACAGTGTGAAGCACGCATAGAATACTGGCGATTGAGTCTGGAGCATCGAAACTCGGAGTCCGCACATGAAACATTATGCAACCAACCTGGCGGAGAAAATGCAAAATATGTTATTGTAAACAAAATTTTTGACTTTACTGATATCTTGTGCACACAGAGATCATATAAAACAGCAATAGTGAAGTGAAGGGGTTTGTACCTAATCCACTACCTGCTAGAAATTTTCTAGTTCCAAATAAAGTTATAATGGTATCAGACGTCATTGATCAGGTCTCAGTTTACAAATTAACCTGGATACGAAAATTCAAGCCTCACCGGAGCACAGAGTGCTGAAGGGCGGAGGCAAGAAGCCCATCGGGAAACCTTGACCTCTTTTTAAGACATTTGACACCAGCTATTATTGCTTAAAAGTTGAATTTGGCAAGAAGGTACGAAATGAGTTCAGCCCTGTGGCACACGTGATGAAGTAATGTGGCAAAAGTCTTCGGACCACCCATTGTTTGGATTTTTAGGGCACCAAGAAGGATCCTCAGAAAGCACTCTTCAAACGGTAATCCAGAGGGTTGGCGGAGCGTTTCTTCAAAGCTGTGATTCCAGGCAGTTGGAGTAAGGCCTGACTTAAGGACATTTGTAATTCACAACACTAACACATCGACAGAATGAGGTAAAGAAAAGTGTCGTACCAGGTTGTTGAAGAGTATGTGAGCTGTTTGCATTGGAAGTTCAGGAAGACGTTGGACCAGCTTTCGGATGATTGAGACGAGGTCGTCTTTGTGGGGAACTCTGGTAAGTTTCTCGAAAATATACCTCAAAAAGAGGCTAGTATCTTCTAAGAGGCACTGCCAAATCACCTTTTCAACGACAGAGCTTACTAAAAAAGCAATTGAACCTCGAGGAGATATACAAACATGAGCTGTAACTTTAAACGAATGCTTAAATTTAAGAAAATGAAGCTTTGAGATGAGAATTCTATTCACTGATTTGTGATGAATTAATTCATTTCCCTCGTGCAGACAAATATTTTTTCAGGATGGCAAAGCACCGCTATCCGGTATGACATGGTGAGGCAAATCGGAATCCATTTGACCAATAAACGAATGTACTTTGTACGTTGTAAGCTTTCCAAAAATGTGGCGAAGAGAATACAGACCTGATTCGTGTTTTAATCCACTGAACAGCGAATTTGAACATCAAATAGGTTTAGCAGAGAGAACAGAGCGAAAAAAAAGTTTTGTCCTAATGAAAAATTTAAATCTGTTTGGCTTTACAAGAGGTAATGTGGCAAGATTCTGAAAAATAATGTAACATATGCGTGAAACAATGCTCCCTAAATTCAAGGAAAAATTTTTTGTGGGGACGGAAAGTTCGCAAATCAGTCGACGACAAATTGACAGCAAATTCTGAATGCAAAACTTAGTTTGTTTTCCTGCTTATAAACGTGAAACGCAATGAATTTATAACACGAGTACATTCATACTCGTGTGAAAACACCAAGGTTTCCTGGTAAGTTCGACATGGCTTCCCCATAATTTACGAAAGAGAAAATTTTGACTAAACATCACGCAATCCATTCCTGGCTGGTATATTGAACCAATCTAAGGTTAGACATTTAAAAAAAAAACAAATTCAAATGTGACATGGATGAAAATTCCCATGGAGATTTACCTGCTATTCCTTCGTTATTAACCGCGGAGTCATCCATTAGATTTGTGAGCGGCAAAACAGCAGCACAGATGCATGAGGGAAAGAAGGTTTGTGCCATTTGGAGCTGATGGATGAGAGGCATGGTGGTATTGCAACCCCCGGAGTCATCGTCTGGGTAACGGTGATAAAACAATAGTAGAGGACAGTTTAATTTTTACTTCACCTTACCGAGTTCATCAAAGAATGATGGCAATCATGCATCTCAAGCTCGTTAGGGACTGCATTATCTTGTTTGCAGTCAACCGCGTGAAACTGCAATAGGGACTTGACGTGACTTCCATCAATTCGCCTCTCACAGCCTACGCATCCCCTGGTTTATCAATCATTCCATGTACTTCGTCTTTAGCTCGCCACAACTTCGTAATTAATCGACCACTTGTATGTCATCTTCAGCTGAATTTATCCCTCCTGTGTACGTTCGTTCGTGCACTACCTAACTTTCCTAGTGGCATCCAGCTAATGATTTAGTCCCGATTGCCTCAAACTTCACGTATCTGTGTGGTGATTCTGGGACCCAATGACTCAGTAGCCCCGATGTGAGTTCGTGGAACATATCGAGATTTTCACAAAAACATAGACTGGACTGTCGTTCTTGGTAAAGTGTAGAAATGCTTTAAGTTACTTTAGGCCTTCGAGTAATGCTGAATAGAAAAAGTTATTTAAACTTATTTACCACTTCCTTGACACCATCACCTACCTCCAATTCGTGCGAACGTCCTTTTCATGTCCAAGAAAATTTACTAAGAGATACTAGTGTCTAAACTTATGGCTATAGAATGACTAGCTATAGAACCAGAATTCCAGAAACAGATTCAATGTATTGAAGAGAGAGAAGCCGAATTTTCAATCTCAAAATGGATTATTCACGGGAAAGTTTTAATTTAAGTTTTTACAAGCACCTGGCATTTACGTCCAACGTTATAAGCGCCTTCATTCCACTGGGTGGTTTGCTCACACTGGGCATTTTACACTGCTTTCTGGTAAAAAATCTACCTGAATCTTTCACAAGTCAGCTATGATATCGCGTAACTTCATCTCCAAATTAACACACTGTGGGTGAATGTTAGTTTCTTTTTGGCGTAGAGTGTCGCTGGCTTAACAACAAGCGTGAGCCAAAGAGCTTGACTTGTTTTTCCCTCACTAAAACAGTGCTGCTTCGAATTTCCTTCTCCTGTAGACAGGCTTTCTTTCAAATGTGAAACCTTAAATCAAAACATGCCCCTAGCTAAATTGTTAGCTTCCCATTTGCAACTTTACAGATTACTTGACAAACGTACCATCGAAAAGGGTGACGTTATCCCGAAACATTGGGATTGATCCATTGCGCCAAGAAAAACTGCGTGATTGCATGTTGAGACTCCGGTTCGTTGGGGCGAAACTGACCTTCCTGGCTGCCAAATTAAATTCCTCCTGTACCACCGAATTTGTCATTCCGGTATTTCCTTGAACAAAACACATTGACGGCATTTTGTGAAATAGTAAAGGAATTTACGGCACCGAATTTCGCTGGATTTCTTCATTTACGGGATTTAGCCTGCTTAAACTTTCTTTTCAGCATCTTTAGTTACTGAGTTGACCTGAAGAGCGTGTTTACGTTTGCGTGTACTGTTTGTGATCTAATGCTGCATGCCAACCAGGGAAACACGATAACTTGCAATTTTCCAACAGATCTATTGGTTTGCAATAGCATTCAAAAGACCTCGCTTAAACTTCGAATACTCGGCCAATCGTTGAAGGGAGTACCAAATGACAGCGCGAACCGAATCAAGAGAATTCCAGGCAAAAAGGTTGGAGTGGAGTGGTGGGGCTGACCAAGTCCCTGAGCTAAAAGCCAACATACCCTGCTGCGTGACCACCTCAGTTAGCAGCCGGCAACGCTTCCTATGAAAAAAAAGAGAACGCGTGGGTTCTTGGAAAGACTGCATTTTTCTACAAATTCTCCTTCGATGCCCACGCAGTAGGAGGTCAAGCAAGGCAAGGCTTTCTTAAAAAAGCGTCACCAACACTTGGCACTTTCAGATCTGAGTTCAGCAGAACTTACTTGGTGTCCATCTGTACCTTATTGGCCCAAGTTCACATCTTGAAGCCATTGGAACTGAGTACTGATTTTTGCCCACAGTGCAATGTAGGTCTATTTGCTCCGAATTTACGCACGAAACCAAGCTCATTCAAGTTTGTAATTTTCTGATAACATGGGCAAGAACTTCACAGAGACTCGTATTTACCTAACACGCGTGTTTGACAAGCCGGCCTTTTTACTTTCCGTCAGGTGCGGTTATAGTGCCTATAACGAACCACTGATTTGACCTCTGTCCAGAAAACATAGTATTGTAATATGTATTTTCGACCTCGTAGATTGTTAGACCGTTTCTTTTAGGCCAATTAATTTGCTGGTGGACTTGATCTAGATGACCTGTTGCAACAGGCAATCGTTGTACTTCACACTGCTTAAAATGGACAAAATCAAGTTTAATCAATGGAATCAGGAAGATGAGCATTAGTGACCAACACGAACTAGGCGGCGGTCTAAATGCTGGTTTAAAACCATTCATTAACAAATCTAGGCTGTATAACTTGGAAAGTTCAAGTAAAGGGGACATTATTTAACGCAATGGTGCAATACTTGCTATCGGCTACCTGACGCACTTCTAAACACGGCTCGTGGCTACTCTAGCTTATCTGACTACTGCTCAAGACGTTAAACCGTCATGCGCAGTGTGGCATTGGGCCAAATCAGTATGCCTGGTTGACAACAGCTGGAGGAAAGCAGCCCCACTTTGAGGAATACAAATAAGCCTGCGAGCGTCCATCTGCTAGCGCAAATTTACGCGCCCTGCGCATGGGCTCAGAGAAGCGCAATTTTTCACAAAATTCCAAGCTGAAGCAAACAGCATCCCTTTGCTGACTCACTCGAGGTTGCAGTGGATGTCGGTTCACACAGTGTTTGGCTTAAGCACGCAAATAAATTTGCCTGAGATTTAAGTCCATCGACCAATATGGAAAAGTGTATGCAATTAGTCATACGAATGCAATTTTAGTATTGTTGAAAAAGCGTGACTGGGATGAAGCATTTATCAAAACTCTTATACAAAAATTTAATGAAACGTTAATGAACATAAATATTATACGACAGTGGCAAATCTTGCTTTGCCTGGTTTAAAAATAAATGGAAATCCACAGTTTCACCCACACTACGAACCTTACTTACACAGTGCATTTAATCATTATACTCGACATATTTGCGTTAAATTTTCTCCAACACATATTTTCGTGCGTTCGAGCATATTTCATTGACAAATGAGTAAACACACCGATGTTCTTTTAAACTAGGACCATCATCAGCGAATTCGTCTTAAATGGATGAAATACGTGCCCCAAAATAATTTTAAGTTGGAAACACTCAACATATTCTAAAGTAGTTGAGGCCAATATTTTTTAATAACATACTGTGAGACAGACTACTGAATGCTTTTGAATGCCTAATCAGCATGTTTACAGGGACAGTGAGAGAAGAATCCAATCAATTACACGACTTCAGCAGTGTTTTCAAATTTCCACATGGAATCCTCCTACTTTCCACCGGTAGCTCAATAGTCGGACTACAAATACTGAGGTGTGATGTACGGAGAAAAATCATGTGTTTGCAGATTGTTGATCAATAAACTGAAGGCCTACTAATGGCTAAACGTGATGATGCATGCCTTCTAACACATTTCTACAACCAAATACACTCGCTTTAAGCATAATCGAGTTCTCCAAAATAGGTTTTGTAAAAAAACTACATACTATGAATTACTGTTTAATTTTGTAAAATAGAGAGGTCGCCATCAGAAATGGGTTTCAAAACCTCTGGTTTCTAAAGAATCCATTTAACCAGCACGATTCTTTCCATGTATCTGAAAGGTTTATTAAAATCACATTGCATTACATAAATTCCATTTTACGGGCAAACCAAAATTGTTCTGATTACCAGCACCAACAGTACTCTCCCGCGCTTTGTTGGTAGTTATGGCCCTAGTGTCAATGTACAAAAACGATGTTTCGGCCAGCTTGAAGCGGTTTTCCTCAGTAATATAGTCAAAATTAGAGACTCCTAGCCTCTTCCAGTCAATACAAAGGCCGAATTATCAAAGCGCCTAACGATGATTTCCTGTGTGGGTTTTTGGCATGTTCTTGCTCTGTTGCCGATTAGTTTCTCTTGCTCTGTTGCTCAATTTGCGTTCTCTTTAATTTTACAAAACTCTGCTATTGATGACAGAGCCTAACTGACAAACTAATAAAAGCCTAAAGTATTAAACCATCGGAAAACACATATTCGAGCGTTGTTAAACTTGTTTACTTGCAATCAAGTGGCCCCGGAATTGAAATCAGCGATGTATTGAATCTGCGTATAGTCGCAAACAGCAGCCACCTCACAACCCTTCGGCTCCCATGTAGGTCGATTCCCCTAGCCACAAAAGTTGAAATTATCATGGTCTTTGCATTTTAACTACACCAAGTTGTTCACCTAGTAGCTTCAAACATAGGAGCGACCACGAATGATTCCCAGTTAAATTTTACGACTTGTGATAGACAGGGATATTTCATCTACTGTGTACAGTCGGAAAACTGCCTACTTCACGGTTACCAAGGCGGTATTTGGAAGTGTAACAGAAAATTATTATATATTTGGGGCCCAACACTTACCACAGGACCTGATCAGAAAACTTACAAGAATATAATTGGTGGCCGAATTACATTAAATAACCGAAATGGACTCCTTCTCTACCGGATTGGAATTCAGTACAACGTTCCAACTGCTAGATGAACAACTGCAGGCTGAAAACATCTGACGTTAGTGTTTGTAATGCCAAATCCTACAATGTAGTCTCTGTTATTGGCTACCAGTGTCAAATCAGAGATAGCCTATTGATGAATCAATATTACAACAAATATTGATTCATGACATTCGCAGTGAGCAGTATTTTTTGATGGTTTCAGCAGCCATTCTCGTAATCGTAACTTAACAAAGTATAGCTTCCCTATACTGTCTTTGGAAAATCAGTGAGGCATAAAATCTAGCCCTTACCATCCTCTCCTCCTGCCGTCTCATCACTACGATGGTCCTTTGATAAAATGGCCTCCGTAGCTGCTAACTCGAGAATGGAGCAGGTAGTCAGGTGGAACATGCGTCTTGCCTCATCACGCGCCAATTTCGCTGCAGTCACCGCCCTGGCCAGTAGCTCTTGCTGCTGCTTTCGACGACTGGTCGACGCAGTAACAAAGGTTTTCTAGAAATTAAAAATTTAAAATCTTGTGTCCGACAGTGAACCACACCAAGTACTAGAACACAATGACTTTGCTAGATTGACAACAAAATCGGGCTTTCACACATGAGCTTGTTAAAATGCGTCTAAACCGATTGGGTCCAAAAGACTTGTTTAGGGAATGTAAACTCGAAAAATATGTCACATTCTAACCTATTCGCGATAAATAGATTAATAAAAATATCCGCTCACTCAATCACACTTGGTTATTAAGTGTATCTACACCAAGTTCCATGATGAACCACATAAGATAATGATTTGGGGATTTTTTCCATCAAAGTTAGGTACAACTCATTTTAATTTTGACTAACTGCAATAAAAAAGCTCAAACGAAAAATTCCACAGCTTTTAGCCTACAGTGACCAAAGCAATTACCCAGCATCAGAACTTTATTCCTTCCAAAGTGTTTTTCAACCACGAGCTTTGAGTGAAATAGTTTTGGACTGTATTATTCTTTTTCGTGTGAAATTTTTATATAACTGATGGGCGCATATTCGTCCGTTCGTTGTATCAATGACGCATTCCAACGTTTGTACTCACCGTTGCTTCGTTTTGTTTTAACTGAACCTCTTCTGCTGAGGTGCCCTTCCTTGTCTCCCAGGCAGGATCGGGAACCTGTGTGGACGGGTTCCCGAGGGTCGGCGAGGGGAGGACGTACTCAATCAGAGGAGGCGGAACTTTGAGGTAGTGGCTTGCTCCATCCTCTAGTCGAGACCAGACCTGCTGTCTAGCTGTCCAAAGGACCCTAAATCTGATTGATGAATTTAAGCGATTATGATCGATTTGATTGAAAGGAATTGGATTTTTGATAACTTCATCGGTAAGTGCTTATTTTTTTCAAATTAAAGCCCCCGAGTCTAGGTGGATGTCCAAAAAATCCCTTGGATTAAATCCAACTTTTAGCAAAATAAGTTAATAGACGCTTAATCAAAGTGCTCACCTAAGTACGGCATTAAGACGGTTATTTAAATCCTTGTGCTGGAGTTCTGTATACAGGAGTTTTTGAACAAAGGAGGGACACTTCACGGAGGCGAAGAGAATTAAGGAAGCTACAAATGTTTAAACACTGCAATGACATCGTCCCAGGCGATATCCAAAAGGCAAGAACTCGGGCCTTACCTGCACTACTAGTGAGCTCCGGATCGGCCTCCAGTAGCAATTCCCAGGCCATTGGGACTATGTCCTCAAGCTGTTCAGGGGTGAGTAGAAGAGCTCCCTTGTTTAGGAGATTGAAGAAACTGCTACGCAGCGACTGGACCTAGGGCAAAACACGTTCACATCACTCGCGAAACTCAAACCAAGGAGTCTACTTTAAGAAAAAAACCCTTATGCTCACGCGCTAGTCAGTTACCTTTGAATGTGACACCAGACAATAAACGTCGTTAGTTGGTTTGATTGATGAAATGTAAAGCCTTTAATTAACACAGTGGGACTGGTTTAAGGCTGATTAAACATGGGAACGTTCCATGAAACACATTGGAAAGAAAAAAACCGTTGATATTCTGATCAGACTTTAATTTATCCTGTTAATCAAACATTTCTGACTTGATACAGATTAACGCTTTCTGCTTTGGGAATATTTGCAAAAATTAAACAGGTAAAAAAAGCTGACACCATTTTGATTCAGAAAGGTTTCTTTTTTGTTTTCTAAATAACATTCACATTAGTGGCTAGGCCCTAACATTGGGAATAACTTGAACAGTGGTAACATGAGCTAAAGAGCATTTTCGTTACATTGTGTCGTGTAATGCAGTAAACATACTGCAAAAGATTTAGTCATATTTGACTGGTTACAATTCGTTCAAATCATCAAGCAAGTTGTCAGCTGAACCACAGGTAGTTATGACACGTTAGCAGGTATGTACTCTTCCCATGTGTGTTAAAGAAACGATATCGAAAATCCCCTGGTCTTCATGTGATAGCAACTGTGTTTGGTTTCATTCCATACAAGGTCTCGCGAG